GTGTGTCGCTCAAGTCAGTAGAATAATGAAAGAGGAGCTACGCTTACCTACCTATATAAGCTGGACGATCTCCTGACGAGAAGTACCTAGTTGTTTACCTCGTAGTAGCTCCCGTAGAGTCTAGTATTCCTTAAAAGACTGAAAATGGCTGGAGGCGTCAAGAAACCCGTCAACATCTTCAAATTGAAGGACTTGGGAGAGCCCAAGAACGTCTTCAATTGGCGACTATGGTTCGCCGTCATCTCCTTTGGTCTCCTCGGCGCAGCCCGGGGAGTTGACGAGGGTCTCATCTCGGGCGCGTTCAATTCTAAGGATTTTCAGAGGACAATCAACTATTCTTCATATAGCGATATCGAGAAGACTAATATCAAGGCCAACGTATCCTCCATGGTCCAGATTGGTTCTGTTGGCGGTGCTTTGTTCGCCTTCGTCATCTGCGATCGCATCGGTAGAATATGGGCTACGCGCCAGCTCTGCGTCTTGTGGATTTTGGGTATTGCAATCTTTATGGGCAATGGTGGCAGTCTTGGAGCTGTTTACGCCGGGCGATTCATCGCAGGTCTCGGAGTTGGCCAGACCCCTGTTGTTGGTCCTATTTACGGTATGTATTGGGATAGCTTTACTTGAATCCTCCAATTATTTCTTCCCCCATTCCCCATTCCCTATTCCCTACTCCTTATTCCTTATTCCTTATTCCCTATTATGCAGTCGTCGATATGCGCTAACTTATTCGCAGTACGTCAGAACTTAATTTCATCTTTCATCTTCCATTTGAGAATCGTCTTCTCGAATCCTCCTATGTTGGAGACTGGGAGGCCTTCTAGAATCGTTACGATGGGTCCCCGGGTTTAACACGGAATGTTAACTTGAAATAGATTGCCGAGATTGCGCCAGCTTCCATCCGTGGCCTGTGTACTTGTATGTTCACCGGTTTTGTGTATGTAGGCATTGTCCTCGCTTACTTCACCAACTACGGCGCCCAGATTAACCTTGGTGATACTACTCACGTTCGATGGGTATGTATTATTCCGTTGCCTCTCATTACACGGCTCACGAAACTAACATCGGCGATTACTAGCTCGCACCAACAAGCTTGCACATCATTTTTGCTGGTCTCATTTTCATCCTGACCTTCTTCCAGTATGAGTCGCCGCGTTTCCTCATCAAGCAGGGAAAGCATGACGAAGCTACTGAGACCATGGCTCACATCCGCCATTTAGCAGTGGATGACCCCTATGTTCTTTCGGAGATACACGCCATTAGGACCGCACACGAGGAAGAACTTGAAGCTACCATGGGATCTAGCTGGTACGGAGTGTTGAAGGAGATGTTTTTAATTCCTAGCAACCTCTACCGCTTGTATCTTAGTGCTATGGTTCAGTTTTTGTCTCAATGGTCCGGAGCTGGGTCTATCACCTTATACGCGCCCGACCTTTTCAATATCCTCGGCATTACTGGTCAGAACGAGTCCCTACTAGTCACCGGTGTATTTGGTATCGTCAAGTTCGTGTCGGCCATTATATGTGCCCTGTTTCTTGTCGACGTCATTGGACGCAAGCGTGCCCTGCTCATCGGGATCACATTACAGGCAATTGCCATGATTTATGTAGCCGGGTTTCTGACGGCGGTCCCGGAGCTGGGAGTAGACGAGAGTTATGTGTTGCCAGAAGCTGAAGCAAGCGCCAGCCGTGGCGCCATCGCCATGATCTATATATCAGGATGCGGTTGGGCACTTGGCTGGAACTCGATGCGTATGTAACATCCAGCCCCTATTTCCAGAGTAACTACTAACCACGATTATAGAATACCTTCTAACGGCCGAGCTTTTCCCTTTGCGCATCCGTGCCCTTTCTACTTCTATCGTAATGACGCTACACTTCGCAAACCAATACGGCAACTCGCGCGCTGTGCCTAATATGCTACTACCCACAGCCCAAGGAGGTATTTCACCAATGGGTACATTCTGGTCCTTCGCGGCGATTACCATTATTGGTGGTCTATGGGTCTGGTTTTTCGTCCCCGAGACTGGAGGCCGTTCACTTGAAAGTATGGATCGTCTGTTTGAACTGCCATGGTACAAGATCGGACGTCGCGGTAATGCGGATGCTGACCTCAAGGATGAGGCCTTTAATGAGAAGGCGGGTATGGGGGCGGAGGTAGACCAAGTCGAAGTAGTCGATGAGAAGAAAGCAGGCAGAGATTTACGTGTTTAAAATGGCCAAGTGTTTCCACTTCACAATTAAAGAACTCACGATTAAAGAATCAGGGCGTACCTAGATACCCATAATACGAGAAGAACAAACGCAACCAGTTTTTTTCTTTCCATTATACGAGCATTTTGAAAACAACTCATGCGCGCAAATCCCTATAACTCCGACCAGGCAATTGATCCCTGACGAGGGTATGGTTTTATCTGTCAAGCCCTAGGCTCTTAGTTGACCTCTTCATAAGACACCGCAAATACCTTTCTTAGGTAAACACCGTTCAGCCACCGGCAATATATGGGTTTCTTCCCCTTTCTGGAACGTCTCCTCATCCTTTAGAAAGTCCCCTTCAAGGGTTGTATAGCTTGAACACCTCGCCGGATGTATCGCTTGACATGTATAACTGTCCAGCCTCGTCGAAAACTAGACCAACAGGTCGCGCGCAGCTTGATGACGAACATTTTCCTTCGTCGGGCGGGTAGAAGATATCTACGTACCCGGTCTTGCAATTGGCTGGCGCGACAGGAGCGTAAGCTCCACCATTGGCGGCATCACGCTGGAATGGTACCGCAACAAGCTTATACCCAGCCGGAGGATTGCGATCCCAACTGCCATGCAACGTGACGAACAGGTTAGTGTACTTAGGTGCGTCGAATTTAGCATCGAGAGGTGCGGTGTGAGCTTCGAAGGTAAGCCGCGGTGGTGTTGACATTCGCGCACATGTGTTATCGTCGAACGTCTGGTTCGGCGCCAGAACGAATTGCTGACCGACGTCTAGTTGGTTCCCGCTAGTAGCATTGGTGATGGCTGCCTCGGGTTGCCAGACCGTAAAACACGTCGGATACCCATACCACTATAGTATCGAAAGTCAAAATCTTTCTCTTCGTGGAACGTATAACGACTAGCTGCGTTACCCGTTCGCGCAAACGCTTACGGGGGGAGTCCCTAGCTTCAAGAGTGCCTTTTACGCCATATATAAGTCTGGCCTCTGATTGATAAGTCTGGCCTCTGATTGGCTAGCCACACCTCAGCGCACGTCCGATGAATTTTTTGTAGAATCAATTGACCTATTATACTATTGTATAAAACTTTTAATAATTGGTATCGTTGGATAGAGCGCGTTTTGCATGACTTTTCTATCTTATTTGCATGTGTTTTAGACCTTATGCGATAGAATGGCAAAGGGAAAAGTCGCCAACTGCGGGGCGATTATAAGGATCTGATTGGCTGGAAAAATTGTGGCAGTACTAATAAAATATAGAAGAGTTGATTAACTGAAAGATTATATAGATCTAAAATTTACTCACGTTATCATTAGGAGTCATGACATCGCCAAGGAAGTTGAGTTCCTCGGCTGGATTGTCGTTGTGAATATCTGTCGATGTTCCGTTGATGTCGCGTGTGAGTTGGTCGGCGCTATTCTCTACGCCCCAGAGCCTACATAGAATCAGTAAGATTATCCCCGTATTTTCTCTTGGAAAGCAATAGGAAGGTTTGCCGTACATATTATTGCCATCGAATACTAATCCTACTTCGTTTCGCAAGCCATATCCAGCGCGCCAACCGTCTTTGACGTAGTTGTAACCACCGTTTGGTGGGGCCGAGATATTAAAGACTTTGACAGTAGCCCTTGCTATTCCCGGATCGACAGCAGCATAGTCGACGTTGCCCGTGGAACCGTGAGAAACGACTAGAAGGTCTGGACAGTGAGGTGGGATGATCAATGTTCTTGTGACATGGTTGTTGGGCGACATGCCTGAAATCACAGTAGTTGGCTCTCCATTTATATCGCCAGTTTCGGAGTTGTATGACCATCTGAAAACCGTTGTGGTTGAGCTGGCATATAGTGTATTACCATCGATTCCAAGATAAATTCCGTGGTTCAGGTCGGGCATAGGAATAAGAGTACGCGATGAATAAATGCACCCATCAATATCGAGCTTGTGTTGGCTGATCCCGACCCCTTTTTCCACAATCAGAAGTCGATCCGCACTATCAATAACCATACCACGAGGCGACGATAGTCCATCTCCCACTTTTTTGGCTATCCAACCTTCGGCCAGCTTGAACGGATACCGAGCAGGCGGGACACCGCGACAAGGGTCAGCAAAGCCGCCAACTAGAATAGGTAACGCTTCTGTTAGAATAGATGTACGGTTTAACAAAACGTCCTCTTTCTCTTCTGGATGCTTACCGGTGAAAAGTAGCACTGCTACTACGCTTGCAATAAGATTAGACCACATCTTTGTTGGTTTTGGTTCGAAAGATGGCCTATATCGTGATGTACGAAGGGAAGATTTAATGGAAAGGAGTTGACAAGGGTCAGTTATTATAAATAACCCATCCCAACTTAAGCAATACCTAGAAGGCAACTGCAATATGGCAATATGGGGAAACCTTATCTTGAAACTGAGTAAATAAAGAAGACAGGTGGAGAATAGTGAGCATATAAGCTTAGGTTAGTTGTATCACGGCAACCACGGTGTAAGTATCGAATTATCGGAAGCCGCACCCAATGAGCATCAAGGTATAAAAGTGAATAAAATTATTAGGTAGGGACCTAGGAGTTGACAGGTAAATAACCTACTCTTGCTTTTTTTTTGTAGGAACAAGATCGGATATACAGCATATTTAGCGAGTGCCTCTCACGTGGAGTCGGTTGGGTGCGTGGTGATCTAGCTCTATTGGCGATAGATGTTATTGAAATATACCCTTTCTTTTTATCCTACAAGTCTGAACTACCTATACTTTACTTCTGAGTAGTTGAGTGGCACTTAGCTACCGAGGCTTAATGTTGGGTACCTATCTAATTCCATTCTTAAAGCTTTAACAGTCACTATATTAAGTGATCTTATATATACGTTCCAATAAATGTAAACTAATGGAGGCATGTGCTGGTCAAACTGAAGAGATGTGGTTCTGACGACGAAGGCGACGATGATACAATACTGCAGACGCGCCTACGCTTCACTACTTTCCCCCTTTTCGACCCTCTCGCAGAGCTCACGAAGCACCTCGCCAGCCCACTCGAAATCCTCAAAATCCAGATAAGTCTGTGCACTTATCCTCGCCCACTTGCGGCCATTATGCGTGAACAACGGGAAAAAAGTTTTATAGTCGGAGACCATCCTCTCCATCATCCATGCAGATGCACGAGATGCCTTCTCAAGTGTTAATGGCAATGCGATGTTTGCTGTCGCACACTGCGACATCGTACCGGACTTATTATCCATGACCTCAGTTCCAAGAATCTGCGCAATCCTTTTACCCCCTTCCCTAGCTAACCCGTGGGTATATTTGAGAATATTATCTTCGCCACCGAAGGTCTGCTCCCGGCATACGATCGCATCTTTCACGCAAAGATAGGCGCTCGTGTCCAGAGTCCCCATAAATTGAAAGTTGTTGACAAAGGGCGATGGATGACTCTTCGGTAACGGGTTGAACCTGTCGCCGGACTTGGAAATATATCCGTGGGATGTAGGGATTGTCGATGCTATCAATGATTGATTTCGGAATGGGACGTATAGGACGGCACAGCTTCTCGGCACGTAAAGCCATTTATGACAATTCGAAACAAAGAAATCGGGATCCAGAGCCTCGAGATCGAGATCAAGCATCCCAACGCCCTGGGCTCCATCTACTAGGCTCAAGATCCCTTCTTCTTTGCAGACTCTCACAACATCCTCGAAGGGAAATCTAACAGCCGGGAGGCTGGATACTGTGTCAAAGAGACACAATTTAGCGCGTTTCCCATCCCTTTTCCCGTTCTCTATTGCATCTTTGAGAGATGCTACAATGACGTGGTCTTCACATGGATAGGCTATCTGTATTTCTCGCGATGAAACTCGGCCCCGGCCCGAGTCAACGAGATAGTCAATAGTCTTTCCACAGGCACCATATATAGTGCTGAAATAGAGAATCTCATCCTTGCAGTCTTCGTTCCAGTCAATATTTCGAAGGACCGTGTTTACTGCCGCAGTAGCGTTTGGGACGAACACTACCGTATCAGTTGGTGCCTTGAGCAACTTCGCCATAGCTTCTCGAGACTCATTGAGAAGATCGGGCAGATCATAACGAATGAAGGTATCAGGCATTGCTTCAGTGCGATCTTGGTACTGGCGAAGTTTATTTCTTACTTCGCGTGGGCTCGCCCCGAACGAGCCTGTCGATGATTAAGTAGATGCGCATAGCTACATGTAGTTGACGAGATTCACTTACCATGGTTAAGGTTGCGGTGGCTTGGATCAAAGTCAAAGTGTTGAAGAGCTCTCTTGCCAAATATATGCAGGTTGCCTTCACGTTTACTTCGCGTCGTATTATCCGCCGCTCTTAGAGCTAAGCTGTTGCTATCAACAGTCATATTGAACGGTATGGTGCAAATATTTCGTCGATTCTCAGTAAAATATAAATGGTCTCGACCAGTATACTATACGTGAAAATACTCTACGGTACAACTGTTACTATAAAACCACCATGGCTTTCGAAGCCTTATATAGACCTTGTTTACTAAATGTCTAGTATCAATTATAGATACTCAAACAGCGTCAAGCCCCACCCATCGGTACAGAAGGGCGCGAAGCCTACTAGGTATGTACATCTGTCACGATATACTCCGATATCGAATATATTTTTAAGCCGATCGCGGAAATGTGCCTCGGGTAGTTGCGGATTAAAATCAGGTATGGCGGAAGAGAGTATATTTTGTTTATACTCGTTATCCAGTTTGATATCATTAGTTTGATATCATTAAATCTTTATTTTCCGTACGCGGCATGAGTCATCCTCCTTTTTCCTTGACTCATCCCCATTGTTTTTACCAGGAAATGCCATTCTTATAGACTCTATCTGGTTGTTTATTATGGCTGTTACTATACTCACCAAGTCAGTTTATGGTCAAAGTTATAGATTGCCTATGAGTAGTTCTCGAGTGTAGATAGTAGCTAGCCAGGATTTAGTCTAAGGTATTACCATAACACTAAGACATTGACGAGTTTATATAATCTACCTAGCTCTAAGACTGAACATTATCTAAACGATAATTTCCAGTGTTTCCTATATCTCTTTATATTCTGATATCATTGGCGAACATTCCCCACTCGGGCGATATGTATTGCCACGGATGTCTACGATAGTCCCGATATTTCTGTATTGGCAGTGCGGGGAGAAATGAATGCCGGGTATATTACAAGACTAGGGGTGATATTAGCCACAAACCATCTCGGTTATCTGTCTTGGATTCATCATAACATCTGTCAATCTCAAGTAAACCTTTCTTGGTTTAAAATATTTTATCTTTTCTATCATAATTCTTTCTAAATTTCTAAATTGGTCTTAAATGGCAGATCAAAGGAAGCCGCGGATAATCCTTGGCCTCATGGTCATTGGTCCCGAGGGAAGTCCGGGGGCACGTATGACGGATCCGGATGATTTCAAGAAGGCCCTGGACATCTTTCAAGAGCGAGGTTACCATGAGCTCGACACGGCACGCCTATATATCGGTGGGAAGCAGGAGGCATTTACAAGACAGGCCGGGTGGAAGGAGAGAGGTCTATCCATAGGCACAAAACTATGGCCGCTACCACCAGGATCTCACGAGCCAGAGGCACTAACAAGTGCATTCGACACTTGTCTAAAGGAGCTTGGGACAGATTCTGTAGACGTACGTGCACGGGAAATAAAATCTCGCTACTGAGATAGGCTGAAGCAGCGTAAGAAAAGATACTGACACAAACCCAGATTCTCTACCTTCATGCACCTGTAACGGAACCCCTTTATTAAACAATACAGATTACGAGTTTCAAAACTCATGGGGCCTGCTAACTAACACCTCAGGACCGATCCGTGCCTTTCGTAACTACACTTGAAGCCATAGATAAGCTGCATAAAGCTGGCAAGTTCTCGCGACTGGGTCTCAGTAACTATGCATCTTTCGAGGTGGCCGAGATCGTCATGACGTGTAAGCACAATGGATGGGTAAAGCCAACAGTGTACCAGGCCATATACAACTGCCTATTCCGGACTATTGAGGACGAATTGATTCCAACTTGCCGTCGTTATGGTATCGCTGTCGATGTATACAGCCCGACTGGAGGCGGATTCCTCCTCGGCCGGATCACATCAAAGGACGACGATCCGGAGGAAGGAAGATACGCAGCAGGCCCATTTCAGCATTTGACGCGAGGGCGGTACTTCAGAGACGGCATAATCGAGGGAGCACAGCTGATCCGTGAAGCTGCCGAGGCACGAGGTTTGAATGCCTTGGAGGTAGCGATGCGCTGGTTGGTGCACCACTCGATGCTACGGGTTGTCGAAGGGCAGGACGGGGTCGTGATTGGCTTCTCTAATCTACAACAACTAAGGGACAATCTAGACTACCTAGAAAAAGGACCGTTAGACGCGGAGCTACTTCAGGTACTACAGCGAGCATGGAAAGCAGCCAAGGGGGACATGGAAACATATTGGCAGCTACCAATGGTATACACCTACGACACGAAAGAAGTACTTTTTGGGCAAGAGAGCAAGTAAAGCGGGCATGTATATTTAGACAGGGCATTATAACGTAGCAGCCTATATTGATAGGTAAACCTAGGTAGCGAAATTGAAGCAAAATGAATGGTAATAAAGAAAGAATAAGAAAAGGAAAAGTCCACCCACCCCCTTACGCCTAACTAATACCGTAATCAATCCAACAATAATCTGAACCTATTCCTATTCCATCGAATATATCATGAGAACTAGATTCAGGAGCAATCTGCTTATGACTTAGATCAAAAAGGGGTAAAGTGTGGCAGCTTATTAAACTAGTATTACTAATATTGTTTTTCTAGCCTGGTCGTATACTGGTCATCTCCTCGACCTCGATACTCGTAGCCGGATGATATGATAGCAAGGAAAAATCATTGGTAGAATGGTGTTTAGGTAGAGTCGTAACATGATACAAAATGGAAGTATTGCTGGCAGGTCTATTTATGACTTGAAATACATAGCTCAGCGAAGCTTTCTTGAAGGTAATGTTTCAATGATTAAAGGCAATAAAATCACTGAGAAGCCATCATATCACGTAAATCTGGCAGACTATTACCTTGTTAGGAATATGGATGGGTTAATGTTTGATAACGTATCTCATTTCCGTACCGGATGCCATCCTCCAATTCAGGTAGGCAGATACTGTACGTGATACCATTGTCATTTCTCATCTCAATAATACATGGCTGTTCTTGATGATAATACCACTCTTGCTACGTGATCTCTGTTTCACTAGCACAAGCTAACGGCTTGCAGTGCCGGTGGCGGAAACATCGGGAACCTGGCTGTTATCAGTCTCGGCGCCCGCAGTGCGCTCTTGAGTGGCTTCGTTTTCAGCGATAGGGGCAGGAGGGAAGTGGCGGCTATATTGTAGTGTGCGTTAGCAGATATATATTGTTAATTTCAAACTAAAACTAGAATCCTAGGAAAAGGAGAGGCAGAAATGAAAGGACTTACGGTATAATGTTATTATAAGCTCGGACGTCCTTCAACTCAAATGTAACGAAGATTACTTTTTCCAGCTTCTCGCCATTACCATTGTCCATGAACTTTCTAACGGTGTCACAGGCGACGTGAGCAGCCCCGTTGCTTGGATAGCCGTAAACACCGGTGCTAATTGCGCTAAACGCGATAGTTTTCAACCCGTTCTGCACGGCAAGCTCCAGGCTCGACTTGTAACAGCTGCGGAGAGCAGCCTCGCTCTTAGCGGGGTTGATATCGTTGTATACGGGACCAACAGTATGAATGACCTTTTTACAAGGAAGGTTATATGCATCGGTGATCTTGGACAAACCAGTATGGCAACCACCCAAGGTGCGACACTCAGCACGTAGCTTCGGACCAGCAGCACGGTGGATAGCGCCATCAACACCACCACCGCCGAGTAGAGAGGTATTGGCAGCATTTACGATTGCATCTACGGACAAAGTGGTGATGTCCCCATGAAATAGACCGATGCGATCATTGTGCGCGGAAGATGCGCCGTTAAGGGGAGGATTCTTCGGAGCTTCTAGTTTGCCGGTGCGGTAGAGAGAGGTAAGAGAGCGGATATCTGACGCAGAGGTGTGATCCATCCTGGCGACGAAACGAAGCATTCGTGAGTTAGAATGTCACATACTCGTAAGAGAGGTTGAGGTTAAAGTTGAAGTTGCGAAATTGGTTTGAAGATGTGTAGAAGAGCTGCGGAAGCTGAGAGCTGTGATCCATTGCATATAACCTCCATACATGTACAGGTAGGTACACATGTACATGCATGTACGTGTACGTAGGACAACAAATTTTACATTATGAGGTAGTCAAATCATTCAATGAATTGATTGAATCTGATCCGTATTATTTAGAGGAAACTACCTAGGAGGTACCTACCTACACTACAATGACGTCTTCGTACCACCCCCTCCCGCCCCCTAGTTTTGTCAGGTACTATGTACATGTACCTGCTCTCTCTGCCCCTCCCCAGCGTATAAGTACTTAGGTACCTCCTAAGAGGTAGTCCCTTAATGCACCTGACATGGAAGTTGGACTTGGACTTAGACTCAGACTTATACATTGTAATAATACGTTGACCTTTATAAGACTTGATCCGGATGCGTCCCACGTCTGCTTTGTGGACAAGAATTTTCTTTACAGAATAAAAGCAAATATTGAAAGCAAATGTTGAAAGCAAATGTCGAAAACAATTATAGAAAACAACTATCTAAAACAATTACAATATAGCCAAGATGGCCGAACCCAGTTCCTTCGGTCGATGGTCAACATATCGTCAACATATCGTCAACCCTTAAACCACCTAAGTTAAGCTATTACCAATTTGACCTCACGTGTATTCTTACCCGAATATCCTCCCCCGTATAGCGTCTCGATCTTACCTGTCGCTTCAAGTTGTATCTAGCCGTATCGTTCCGAAGAGATTCCTACTGCCTGGCACAATGTCGGGTTCTGGTTCTGGTTGGAATCCATTTGGGCCCAACCAACCACCCCAAGATCATGATCCATTTCATGATCCATTTCCAGCCCCCTTTCCAGCTCCCTATCAATATGCGTTTCCAGCTTTCGTCCCATATCATCCCAATGATTCAAGTTCACATGGACTCCCATATGCACCTCAGTTTCCACCAGCTCAGTTTCCACCTCCAAACTTTATACCTCCGATACATCGACCATATCCGTCTCAAAGTCAAACTATACCTCCAACTTTCCCTCAGACAAGACCTCATTTCTATCATTTGGACGTACTTCACCCTGAAGCCATACGAGCTGACCCCACGAGACCTATAACGCCCTTGGCAAGAAAGTACGGCATCTCATCGGTTCCCTTTCACCGTCTAAATAGATCTGACGGCCTAGCCCACTCCGGTTTAAATTCAGAGTTTCCTAGCACACTAACCCCGGAAAAGACCGATCGGATACCAAAACCAGATCTTGAGGAATTGGACAGACTTTTCAGGACAGAGAGGGAACAATTCCAATTGTTCAATCCCTGCGTCAAGAGCTGGAGAATAGAAGCCCTTAATGATGGACTCATTGGCGGATGGCCATCCGCAGAGGACCGCTCGAAGAGCAACTGGGATCAATGGGAAACTTTTAAGACTAACCTGTGCGTTGTGGACGAGAGTCGGTGGCTTTCGTGTTTTCGGAAGGACCGCTGGTTTGATTCAAGACACAATGCTTTAAATACATTAAGGGAACCTATTCCAGGCGTCAATATGTGGCCTAATGAAACGTGGTACACTGTTGACAACCCTATCATTTGGCAATATACCAGTTACGCTATAGAAATCTTCAGCCGTGTTCTGCGGCTATTATGCGAAGAACAGAATGAATGGCATGTAGCCCCTTTATTTATATTATCTTGTCTTATTCTCAACCTGGTTATTTGCGAGTTATGTAGCTAATATTCAATTAAGGCTCGATGCTCTATTATTCGTAAGGCCAATACCTATAGGATCTAATCCTAATTACGATTTCCCCGACCAGTATAGGCCTTTCAAAACGAAATTAATTCCTCGTCCAAGGGAACAGAGGGCGTCCGGTGCTCAAATCTTCCAAGCAATCGAAAATCTGACAAGGGGCCATATTGTCAATACCTTCTGCGACGAGACAACTCTAGCCCAGGCAGCCCAGGCTGTCACAACAAGATTCAACAGCTCGCTATTGGGAAGAGCAACTATTATGTTCAACGTCCGTTATGCCTTACGTCCCCTGCTTGAAATGGAGACATCGGTCCCCGAAAGATGCATGCAAATGCTCAATTTTTCTAGTCTTGTACGAGACCTATTCCCTATAGCGCTGCGGCACTCATAACTAATTACTTTCTCAATTTCGTAGATGCTACACGAGTTTGCGGTGAGTCTTAAGTCCATTTTCTCGTCCCCTTTCCCCTTTTTAGGCAGTGGAGGCTGAATAAGTCGAGTAGCACGCGATGTGGATGTGTCAATTTGACACGCCACTTCTTGTTGATGATGAACCGGTAAGATACATTTCGCTGAATCCTTCGCATTATTGGGGAGCTTACCTTCCGTTCTACTAGTTCTTTGGAGACGAATGGATCGCAGAGTTGGGCCACTCGTTCACCAGACACATTTGGGGCGGCACGGTACAACCTACCCCGACCCGGCAATTTATACGCGGGAGACATAGGGGCTTCATAAGCTGCCACCAACTTGAACTCTTCCCTAGTCTTGATTTTGCTGCACGAGAAAGGGATTATGAAAAAAATACTTTCGAAAGTCACAAGAGAGGCGATCAGTATTCTTATCATTTCTTGATACCCGCCGTATGGGCCTCAGCTATCATATGTGAAGAATTCTGGACCAAGATTATACCTCGGCGCGGTAGTGTTGCGCTTCGGCCGCCTCTACTTTTCGGAATGGGAACTTTCGATGCCAGACTACACGAGTCCCGTAGAATACGAAACCCGGAATTCTGGACTCCCGAGCTAAGAGGATATTACGAGTCGGCTATGACGCGATGGGTAGACGCAGGAGCGCGTATGAGACTCGCAAGACATGACTGGTACGAAGAAGAGTATAAAAAATGGAAAAGTTTACCCTGGAGGGATCCGTGGTTCATCGGCATAATTGAACAGTTCACTTACCACCACGCGAACCGGAATTTGGCTACTTGTCGAGAGTTAGCACTAAAAATCATAAACGTCATGAGCCCGCCGAATGGAGGCCAGCCAACCATTGCTACGGGCGTCAATTATATAATAGGTTTAGTGATGTTATTATCTCGTACGTTACCCTGTCTGTCTGTCACTCCCTGTCCCCAATCCCTCCAATTAAGTCGAATAGAATATTGCCCTTCTTAAGACCATAGAACTCCTACCATATCTTTAGCCGGATTTTACTAACTCTCAAATACACAGTTCCTAGAGAACCTGCGGGTGATCTATTAAGGCCAGTGATGCCGAGGGAAGCCTTTTACTACCCAAGTCGTGCAGCGGAACCTTGGTTCAATGCTCGAAGTACTAGACCTTTTATGGGACCTCATGATGTCTTGACTGGTGTCTCACCAGATGTTATTCAAGCACATCAAGAATTTACAAGTTTCCCCGGTCACATAAAGTATATTAAACGTATTCTTGCGTACGTTGAGTTCGAAATAGGCGCCCCACTGTGAGTTATACACATCTCCATACCAATAGCTATATCTCGTAGAGCCGTCTCCCTAACGAAAAGCTTCCAAATATAGAGGATGGATAGTAAGTATTATCGACAATTTCACTCAACTGCACGTGCAACGCGACGCGAACCCCAGGCCTGATAGCTGGGGAGGCTTCTCTTTCAAGGTACCTCCGTACGACCCGGGGTGGGTTAAAGCAAGAGCAAGTAACCAATCATTCTCCAGGCCGGCACAGCTTCGATATAGGGCTATTGTGCCTTGGAATCTCGCAGCCCTTCCTCCACCACTATATTCCCCGCCAAATAGTCCATATTTATTACCGTCAGAATGGGGAGGAGCGAATTTCAGGCGCTTCCCTGGACACACGGCCCAGAATACACCTGTGAGGAGGGAATATCCTCAACACTTTTATATCGGTGATGTAGCAAATCATAGGGCTCTCGATGATGCCTGGGTGGTTGAATCAGACGGAGACGATGGGTTTGATGTATTCGATATCACGGGCAAGTTACCCCTGACTCTTCTCCCGGTTTTGACCCTGACTGCTAACTACTGTTCTAGGTGAATTGAGAAGTTTGGGTGCTACGGAAACCGATTATGGCGCCATGATAGTGATTGGACCTCAGGGTCCGGAATTGAATCAAGATGCAAGATCAGATGTAGTTCGTGCAAAATTCAACACCAGTATCCAACCAATTGGCAAGTTGATGCTACGAAGGCGTATAGAGGAGGTCGCAGAGTGCGATGGTCAGAATGGGCGACGTACTTGGACCAGCTGGGGCCCGCTCATCTTCGACATAACCAGTGCGTAGTAGACATCATATTTAGAAGCAGAGCTATGCTGACTTTTCCCAAGACTTCCCCGCCCGGTCTATCGAAGAACAAGAGGCGTTAACCGAGAGTTCTGGTGGCCCCTTGTCCAAAGATCTGACAAGATCGGAACATGAGACAAACCAACTACTGGAGCGTCTAACCCCCTATACCTGCGCGTATCTCCACGTAGAACAGCCAGTACGGAATATGAGGTATTTTACACCAGAAATGCTACGGTGGTATGATAATCCCTCTCATGGGGTCTATATTGCACTAGAAAATGCGGTCTACGATATTTCGGGTCAGTTATTCTTCGCCGCCAAAGGCTCTAACGAACTCGGTACTGATATCATTTAGACTATCTACGTTTTCACCCCGGAGGTTCCCAATTGCTCATCCACTGCACGGGACTCGACGCTACTCACCAGTTCCTGCAGTACCATAAAACTGATATGATGAATGTTAGTAGCCACCGGAGATATTCCTTTCTTGCTCGATGGCCGGAACAGACCATGGCAATATTATATATTCCAATTGCGGAAATTCGCCTATTACCTCCATGCGCCGTTAGCTAATCTCCATTTCTGTAGTCTTACCAATTTATGCAAGTCGGCTACCTCGTTCCAGAGTGTACTTGGAAACAGTTGCAAGATAATCATGTCGTGGTCCATGATTGGGTGTTTAACATAAGCTGTATGGTTTTCCCTTAAATCTTTAATCGCGCCAAATCGTTAACTTACTATGCATTAAAGCCCTCCAACAAGAGGACTCAAATCTCTTCAATTCGCTCCATAAATTTATCCGCCAAGATACTACGGTCGCCGTAACCGGTCACGATAGCGACGCGGCGGCATTAATTAAGTTATTTATCGATAAACAACATCTCATTGTTGCAGGTTTAGCGACGAAGGAACTATTGGATATACCAGTGTGGGAGTTCCTTAAACACAACAACTATGAGGGCGTGCAGGGCGCGTGGGTTGCTGTTGAAGGCTACATCTACAACGTTGAGGGTATGTTCACCATGCTAAGATTTTTTACTCGCTTAGGTTCATAATATACTAACTCATTCTTAGATCTCATGAAGTATCCTGACTACTACGATCATAAACTAGGATTTAACTGGGCTGGAAAAGAGTTGAGTAATCCTGATTTAGCCCAATGGCTGACGACAAACTACCGATCTCGGTGTATAGGTAGGCTCGTCGAGGGACCTATCTTGCCAGAACCAGAGATGGAACCGAATTTGACCTTGGAAGATTCAATTCTCCCTAGAGGAACCGAAGATCTGATTATAGAAAGAAGAGCGGGTGTATATGAGTAAAAGGGTCTAGGAATTTAAAGATATAATTCAATTTACACACATAGCAAATTAGCTTTATATTGAAATAATTATTAGAGCCCCTGTATGATCCTCCTCGCTCTAGTTAGGCGGCCTTAGGCAGTCGTAGCCTTCATTTTGATAGATTTAATAAGGGGAGTCCTCTTCAGACCCGGTGAAATTCATTCTTCGAGGCACGGATACTTGTTAAGAAACGTTTCTAAAAGGGTCTTGGTACGCAGTCGTTTCATTCTACTCCCTGGGCCTTTCTAAACCCGTCTTGGAACTCAGTGGCAGTAGTGACATATCCCCTTTTGTTAAGAATCTTATTAATCATAATATCATGGACAGCCTCATCCGGATCCGCACAGCCGTTCGAGATGACTGTAGTGACGTATTCGGCGTCGGTAGCTGCAACGGCAGTCCTCAGCACGCACCCGGATGTGCTTAGGCCGGCAAGTACTAGCGATTTGATGCCCTTTTGCCTCAAGAATTCGTCTAGACCGGGGGATCGAAGAGCAGAAACATGGCCGGGCTTGCGGGTAAATGTGACATCGTCGCTGCTACCTTCGGATAGTTCGATAGCCTCTTCGCCACCGCTTGACCTCGCGCTCGCGACCGTTTCCATAAGCTTATCAGCGTCCCGACACGTCTCAAACGTCGATGTGTTTAAGTCTATCAGGGCATGGACTACCTGGATGTCTTGCGATCTGGCCCAGGCCCTCATGCTGGCCGCTACGTGAAGGGCCGCAAGGGCCTTCGGTCCACCGGCTTTTTGGACAATCATGGAGTGGAAATCTAGAAGGAGTAAGGCTGTCTGGGAGGGTCCATAATAACCAGGCGTGGTTGGATCTGTCTTGTCGAATATAGCGAAAGGATCTGACATGGTTGGTGATGAAAAGTCGGGAAAGGTTGATAACTTGTGGCTTCTTACAAGCAGCTTTAGCAATGATATAATTCTAGAAACTGACGAGATAACTAATAATATTTCTAATCAATTAATTTGAATCAGCAGATATTTATATTCTCAACTGTTCCGGTGTCTGCTGATAACTTTGCCGACGCCGGCTCCGGTGTCTAGTAAGTGTATATCCGAACTCGCTTCCGAAACCACAACCCACCTAGACTCGATATCCAGATAATGTAAGAAAAGCGATCGACAAACTCAATATAAAGGAGATCTAGTGAGTGTTTGAATAAGTCGTTTACCAAAAGTAAATACTCGCCTTATCAGGTTAGTTAACCAGCGACCATAACTACCAGTTACCAGCGAGTGTTGTAGCCTTTCTTGAATCAACAATTATTGCATCCTCATTTACTGCTGTCCGCACATCGTTAAGTATAAGCTTGTTACCTTACCATCAGATACTAGTGAGACCTACTTTGTAAGTCTAACAATCTTCTTTTAGGCCGTGCCATATCTGAACGGCTCAGTCTTTAAGCCTGGGTGATAACTCAGTAGACTCAATAGTAATGAGGATATGAGTTATAAGAGACTGCTGCATAAGTCTTCCGCAAGTGTTGAGTCCTTGCTTGACTTAAAAGTGCTTAATTGGCAACAATACCTGGCGAGGTCTATGATATATTGTATGATTATTTATACAATATAAAATCCTTAGTGGCGTCATCAATCAGATACGAATAACTTGTTATTGTTTTGAATGCCGTGGCTAAGTCTCTTACCCCTGAGTAGATGCTGACCTCCACATTCGGTAGGCGGTGCCGAACTTCGCTTTGTAGTCGTCAGCAACTGGAATGTAACAATGGTGGCTGGGATTTATGGAACATACAAGGATCACACATATGATCGTCATATATAGTGCGTATTCAGCAGTTCAAAATAGAAACTTCTCTCTGTCGCTTGATCAGCTAAATCTTATTTCATCCTAACGCGGTCCCACCCCTGGCGCCAATGCCGTGATACCCGCTTACCGTCCTGCCGTCCTCGTAACCGAATAACTGGGGAAGACGCCTGATGGTGATAGGCTGGCTGTCCGGCGAAATGAACTTGTTGTGCTATGTACCATGTATCACAGCACACCGTCAGCAGCGTCGTAAAAGCGACAAACCCTTGCTGACTTCGCCGGTATATATAAAGCGCACGGCAGCACTCAACAAGGTTGGCAAGTCTTCAGTTTAGGTCATCAAGCTTACACAATGTTCTCTCCTTCGCTTGCTTCTCTCGCTCTCATCTCCTTCGCCAGCACGGCGCGGGGACAAGCTGCTGGCTGTGGCCAGAAACCGTCTTTCACACCCGGTGACTTTAAAAACTTCACTGCCTCGGGGGACCGCGAGTATCGCGTGTGGTTACCGGCAAACTACGACTCTAGCAAAGCGACGCCGCTTATTCTTAGCTACCATGGTGCCAACAGGGATATATCACACCAAGTTGACCTAGATAAGTTAACCGATCCGTTCTTCAACAAGGACCATATCGTGGTATACCTGCAAGGTCTAGAGGTGAGTCACCGTAACATGCCAATCGCCCAGGTATGTGCTGCTAATACCTGGATAGGTTAGCCGACCTGGCCACACGGAATGGGAGGGAGCTCCGGACTGCAAATCGGATGACATCGGGTTCACAAACAACGTTCTCGACGCCGTGGGCAAGGAGCTATGTGTGGATGAGAAGCGCATATACGCGACAGGCAAATCCCAAGGTGGAGGTTTCGTCGGCCGCCTTGCATGTGACTCGGGTCTTTCGAAGAGGATCGCGGCGTTCGCTCCGGTCTCAGGGGCTTATTACATCAAGGAGATCGACAATGAAGCGGACTGCCACCCGGAGACCGTTAAGGTGCCTTGCAGCGCGGGTCGTTCTAACATCCCAATCCTGGCTTTCCACGGCGGCGCCGACACGACGATTAGGTACAACGGAGACTTCCGGTCGGGAGCCTGCTTGCCGGCTGTCAGTTCCTGGGCGAAGCAATGGGCGGCGAGAGATAACTTGGACCAGACGCCGGCTAACACGACAGTCGCCCAGTCAGAGAACGGTGTTAAAATGAGCTATGGAGGTGGGTTGGTCTCGCTGGTGTATGATGGTGATAACATTGGCCATGACTGGCCGTCTACTCAGACGAACGCGGATAACGATGGAAACGTAGCTGCCTTCAATGCCAGCACGGCCATTATGGAGTTCTTCCGAAGCCACAAGTTATCTTGAACTGTTCTGTCGTATTCCATTCGATGATACCTGTACTTAGACTTGATTACCTATTATCATATAATCGTTAGAAAATAGACTCATTGGCCATTAGGTAGTTTTTATCTCTAAAACTTTGCTGCTTTGACTCATGTTTCTTTATGTTGGGGACTAAACCCAACTTAGGAGTGTACGCTGTCAACTCTCACCCGCGAAAGGATAATACGTAGATACCTCGGTGCAGCATATGAGCTACTTATATTAGCATCATTAAAAACAGCTCTGAGCCACGCTGATATAGCGTCAAGAAATATATTTTTTGGTATTGGTTGTTGCGTGATTTGTAATAAGATTGATTATACAATCACCCATCGTCGTCCGTCGTATAACGGAAGCCCCCGGATTTAACGGACCTAATCCTGATAGATTACAAAGTGGCACAGGTTACATAACCCCGGCACAGTTGGTCCCAAGCAATATGTCGTAGTTAGTATGATACTAAGAATATATCGGACTCCGGGAGCCCTCGGGACGGAGATCGCTTCGTCCGTAGGCAAGGCTTGTCCTGTATAACGAACTGGGCTAAAAACTGTAGAGAAAATTGTAGAGAAAATTGTAGAGAGAGCAAGAATTACCATCCACTGCTAGGTATAATATCTGCTGCCGGGTATGATAATACCATAAAGTTACGAGGCAGTTGGGCATTTGCCAGATTGTAATAATACTGACGAATATTGGAACGTTAAGGAAGTTGAACATGAAAATAAAGAAACGTAACCTAAACGTTAGGAATAAACAAATGCAATTCCGTGTTTAAGCGTTTAAGGCTTACGGGAGAAACGGATGTAGTCCCGGATTCGCAAGCACATGCGGAATATCTCCAGATTTTTGAAATATATCCTGGTACTTTATGCGGGCGATAGGCAAAGATTTTGGCGGGGAAGAATGGATAAGAAGGACAAGTCTGAAGAAGATTTCGCCTTCACCGCTTGACCGCCTTACGAAGTGTACATAGGTACATATCGATAATACCTACCACATGTATTGGAAGTTGTAGGTCCCTGCTTCATTGCCCCCTGCCTCCGGAGGTCTCTTTTAAGCGGCTAGCCTGTCCACTTCTTTTGATGCCTAAATGGGACTAGGTCTAGATGCCTAAGAGAACTTTAAGAGCTTACATATACATGTAGAGAAGCGCGATAGAAAGCGATAAAGTACGATAAGCATGAATCATGCTGACCCCTGGCTTACCGGCTATTGGCTCTTTTCATCTCAAGTGGCTACTTGATAAAGACAACCTAAAGTGCCAACTAAAGTTATGCTGACCTACTGTCATAAGTACACGGATAGTACACACAGATATAGTACCTGAACATAGCCAATCCCAACAGGGGTGGCAGTGGCGTTTTGGCAACAATTGGGCTTATCGGGGGGATTGGCCCCACAAGTTAATCGATTACAGTAAGAACCCTGCAATCTTGTACGCTTCCCCTCGGCAGCCCACCTATCAAGATTGCCCCTCGCGGGCAAAAAAGAAAAAAAATTTGGCCGCCAAAATTTTTTCAGTTAGAATTTGGGACATAGTATTTTCTGCCATAAAACCTCGTCCACCACTCCCAACCCACATTCCACCTTTTTCCCAAATCCTCCTTTTTTTTCTTATCACACGTACAATCTCTCCTTTTCTTTCCTCTTACTCTCTTTTCTTGAAGAGTGACCATCTGAGCGTCTCCAACTCAGTTTCGGGTTCATCCTCTTCTCGAGACAAAAAAAGAGATCTTTGTTCTTCGCCGCGGTTGGGCTTAGACTGGATTAGACGAGCCACGATAGAGTAGATTCTGAACACGCGTTTGTCAGAAGTTCTACAGGCTCCAGACGAAGGCCACTTCCTAGACCTGGGTGTGTCTCTTTAGACTTTCATCGTCGATTACCCATCGCCGCATTTACGACCGCGAGAATCTATCGACTCGGGATAATATCACACTCGACGACTTCGATCAACATATCCTAATCGATTTCCCCTCGGAACAAAAATAATCAAAATGTCTACGGCTCAGGAAAACGCTCAGTCCATCAAGGTCTTGGATGACCTGATGCAAAAGCTCACCATTTCCAAGGATGCTGCTTCTATTAAGGACGCATCTCACTCTCTGGCCTCTTTCATCAACGGTCGCATCGAGGACCAGGAAGCCCCCACTAGGTGAGAAAAATTTTGACGCTATTATTCATACATACACACACACATGCACACACATGCACGCATTTATGGCTTATATTGCATTTTACATTTTGCAATTTACGGCTTCTTTGCTGTGTGTGGCCCTCAGGCTTTGCCACTCCACCTAAATTCTAGCTCCATTTCCATTTTTTTCATGTCCATTTCGAATTCCGCTGTTCCCCTCTGCCGTTCCTATCCTTTTGCCCATACCCCCACCATATGCACGTGCCCGAAAATGTCCTTGTCCTTTACATTGGCGTTATGTCAACCCCTCCCCCCACTCATTAGATGGCCATAATATCTGCTGGGCGAAATAGAAAGAAGAAGAAAAGGGAAAGGGGGCTACGACTTAGTGGGAGTATTCTTCAACATGCAGTCTTGATAAAAAAAACACTAGCTTTCATCATAATTCCTATTTCCCCTAATAAATCAACAAATCAACATATGCTAACATGAGATTAATTCTCGCAGAACCGTGGAAGCCCTGAAGAAGCAGATTACCAACAAGAAGGATGCTGCGGCCCGCGAGAAGGCAGCCAATGCCATCCAGGCCATTGCCCAGCACTCTGAGATCGCCCCTAACGTCGAGCCCTACTTGGTTCTCCTCCTACCTCTGACCCTGGCTGCAATTGGCGACAAGATTACTGCTGTCAAGAATGCTGCTATTGCTGCCACCACCGCCATCATCGAGGCTGTCAACCCCAACGCCGTCAAGGCCGTCCTACCCGTCATCGTCAAGTCTATTCTCGAGTCCCAGAAATGGCCCGAGAAGATCACCGCTCTTGACTGCATTGATATCCTTGTTCGAACTTCCCCTGCCCAGCTGGCATTCCGAGTTCCTGAGCTCATCCCTGTTATCTCCGAGTCCATGTGGGATACCAAGAAGGAAGTCAAGGAGCGTGCATACAAGACTATGGAGAAGATCTGCGAGTTGATTGTCAACAAGGATATTGAGCGATTCATTCCCGAACTCATCAAGTGTATCGCTAAGCCTGAGAACGTTCCTGAGACTGTCCACTTACTCGGTGCTACAACCTTCGTCACTGAGGTCCAAGAGCCTACTCTAGCTTTGATGGTTCCTCTGCTGGATCGTGGTCTGGCTGAGCGAGACACTGCCATCAAGCGAAAGGCCGCTGTTATCGTTGACAACATGTGCAAACTTGTCGACGACCCCAATATCGTTGCTCCTTTCTTGCCCAAGATGATGCCTGGTCTCCAGAAGAACTTCGATAACTTGGCCGACCCGGAAGCCCGTGAAAAGACCAAGCAAGCTCTAGATACTCTTATCCGTGTTGGCGACATCAAGGATGGCAAGATCCCCGAGGTTCGCCATGACGGTGATGTTGCCGTTGTCTTGGGCCATCTCCAAGCTGTCATCCCCAGCAAGCACGCTAAGACGGCCGAGAAATTGGCTCCTATTCTGGAGTACATCTCTGCCATTGGTGGCCAGCTCGTTGACGAGAAGGAAACTGAGCCCTCTACTTGGGCCGCTGCTGTCAAGCCTTTCGTCACAGTTGTTGTTGGCGATGTCGATGCCGAAAAGGTTGTCGACGGTCTTAGAAGACGCGCTTCTTCCGGTGCCGCGGATGAGGCCGAGGAAGAGGTAGATGACGATGAGGGTGAAGACCTCTGCAACTGCACCTTCTCTCTTGCCTACGGTGCCAAGATTCTTCTTAACCAGACCCACCTACGTCTCAAGCGTGGTCGCCGTTACGGTCTTTGCGGTCCCAACGGATCCGGTAAATCTACTCTCATGCGTGCTATCAACAACGAGCAAGTCGAAGGTTTCCCTAAGCAGAGCGAAGTCAAGACTGTCTTCGTCGAGCACGACCTGGATTCTGCCGACACTGAGATGACTACCATTGACTGGACTATGAAGAAGCTGGCTGAGGCAGGCGTTACCACTAGCAAGGCCGACGTCGAGAAGCGCCTTGAGGAGTTTGGTTTCACAGAGACAATGACTCAGGGTGAGATCACTGCTCTGTCTGGTGGTTGGAAGATGAAGTTGGCTTTGTGCCGTGCTGTCTTCGAAGCCCCGGATATCCTGTTACTCGATGAGCCTACTAACCATCTCGACGTGAAGAACGTCAAATGGCTCGAGGACTACTTGATCAACTCGCCTTGCACTTCTATCATTGTTTCTCACGACAGCAGTTTCTTGGACAATGTCACTCAATACATTATCCACTACGAGCGATTCAAGCTGAAGAGGTATAAGGGTAACCTAAAGGAGTTCGTCCGTAAGAACCCTCACGCCAAGTCGTACTATGAGCTTGGAGAATCCGAGATCGAATTCACTTTCCCCGAGCCCGGTTTCTTGGAGGGTGTCAAGACCAAGGCTAAGGCCATTCTGCGTGCCACCAAGATGAGCTTCCAATATCCGGGTACCCCCAAGCCTCAGATCACCGACATCAGCTTCCAGTGCTCGCTCGGTTCCCGTATTGCCGTTATCGGTCCCAACGGTGCCGGAAAGTCGACCCTCATTAACGTCCTCACTGGTGAGCTGATCCCTACCGCTGGTGAAATCTACCAACACGAGAACATCCGTATCGCCTACATCAAGCAACACGCCTTCGCCCATATCGATAACCACCTCGACAAGACCCCCTCAGAGTATATCCAGTGGCGATTCCAGACTGGCGAGGATCGTGAGACCATGGATCGTGCCAACAAGATCATCACTGAAGATGATGAAAAGGCGATGGACAAGATCTTCAAGGTCGAGGGCTCGCAACGCCGCATCATTGGTATTCACAGCCGTAGAAAGTTCAAGAACAGCTACGAGTACGAGTGTTCTTTTGCCCTCGGAGAGAATGTGGGCATGAAGAATGAGCGCTGGGTTCCTATGATGACAGCCGACAACGCTTGGCTTCCGCGAACCGAACTTCTCGGCTCTCACCAGAAGATGGTTGCTGAGGTCGATATGAGGGAAGCGCTTGCTTCTGGTCAATTCCGACCTCTAGTCCGAAAGGAGATTGAGTCCCACTGTGCCAACTTCGGTCTTGATGCGGAACTCGTTTCCCACTCGCGCATGCGCGGTCTCTCTGGTGGTCAGCGTGTCAAGGTTGTCCTATCTGCTTGCTCGTGGCAACGACCCCACTTGATCGTTCTTGACGAGCCCACCAACTATCTCGATCGTGACTCCCTAGGTGCCCTGTCTAAGGCTCTCAAGAAGTTTGAGGGTGGTGTCATCATCATCACTCACAGTGCCGAGTTCACCAAGGACTTGACTGAAGAAGTTTGGGCTGTCATGGACGGTAAAATGACACCTTCAGGTCACAACTGGGTCCAAGGTCAAGGCGCTGGCCCTAGGTTAAAGCAAGGCGACGATGACGAAGAGGAGAAGTTCGACGCCATGGGTAATAAGATTGTGACGACGAAGAAGAAGGCTAAGTTGACTAGCTCCGAGGCCAGGAAGAAGAAGAAGGGTAAGTTCAATACTCTAGCAAACCCCCCAATCCCTAATCCAGTCACTAACCTTGACTATAGAGCGTATGGCCCGCCGAAAGCGTGGTGAGGAGGTCTTCTCCGATGAGGATGACTAGACGATTCGCCATCATCTTCGCTGGCACGCATCCTTACGACTTACTCCTGATTCACGAATATGATCACTTTTTCCTTTGTCTGATATGAACACAAAAAGTTCGGATTTGCATGGTTAGGCATTGTCTCTGTTTCTTGCGCGCCAAGGTTGCCCAATGCTCATTGCAACTAAAGGGGGGGCGTTTTATCGCATGGTCGAGCAGGATGAACTAGGAAGGGCATGATACCGCTGGATTGGAGGCCCAGAGGTTAGCCTTTCGAATTCCTGACTGCGAGAATACCATAGATAGATAAGCAGGTCGCTGAATAGACTTGATATAGAGTTTTAAGTCTTCTTTTTACCCGTAGCTGTTGATATGATATTGTGTCTTGATTTATACTCTGTACCCTTCTGCTTTTGGGACTGCTCTTACGCGAACTATGTAGAGCCAGATACTCTAAATGAATTATAGGTAGACTACACATTTACGGGTCAGGTGATAACGTCTACTCTAACTACAACAACATTCATTGACTCCATGTCCTTTCTTTGGATTCACTAGCATTTTCAACAATATGTATTTTTTTAAAATATCGGATCCGGGTCAAAACGTAGTGTCGCTAATGGGAGGGATCCTTTGTTACGACCTTTGTCGCATTTGTACCTCTCCTTGAGCTTCCGAGAACGGTAAGACAGACTCATGGCATGCCTACAAAGGATTTCTAGATATGCATTGAGAAGTGGGAAATATCCAATATCCAACATCCAATACCCAGATCTGAAGGAGTAATGCAATTTATCTAAACGTTAGCATTTCGTAACTTTGACAAAAGCATACCTTGGTAACATAGAATGATAACAGCAACGATAGGAAGAGAGCAACAGCGGTATTGTATAAGCAGAGCCACGGGGATAATTATATACATATCTATCTACCTATACACGGCCGCTCGTACAAGCTCCAGGATCATATCTTAAGTAGACCTAATGTTTGGACCCAATGCCAGCTACCCTTTCGAGACCGCAACGGCGGCTCACCCGCCGGCGCTGAAACCTGGTCAGAGTATCCAACAGCTAGCATCGGCATATTTAGCGGCGTTTAGGACGAAAATACCTGATGGATATTTCTGGGACTGGCTGCCGTTTTTCGAGGCGCTGGTCGAAGGGAATATCTACGCTCATGGCGTTAGCATTGTATTCCCGCCCGACGAGGGCGATCAAATGGGCTTTCCGGCTGATGACGACTCGTGGCGCGACAGCCACGTAGCTGTCAGGGGAAAGGTGCCGAAGCCGCCTGGTAGCGGGTCGTGGAATTACACGTGGTATATTCCCGAATGGTCTCACCCTGATTTTGACCCGAGCTTCACCGTGTCATATACGAAAGGATTCCGCATGCTGGGCTCCAGGGATCCGGTTGTTAGGCTGTACCCGGCACTGCGGCCCCAAGACCAAATTCATCGGCCGACAGAGTGGGCGAAACGCTTCGGTATCTATCCGGGAGAGCTTGGGGGTCGAAGTCGTCTCAGCCCGACGCTATCTGCGACTCGGGACCCGTGGGAGGACTACGCGAACCAGCTTAACCTGCTCCCGGAAGAAGCGAGAAGAAAACTCGCCCAAGAGACGAAAGATGCGGCGCTGAAGGCGGGGAAACCCCTTCCCCCCGAAGGCTATATCGACAAGGATGCGTTGGAGAATCTGATGAATTCCGAACAGAGGATGACGGGACAGCAGCTACGGGTAAAGATAGCGTCGTACCTAACTGACGAACATGTTCCCCTTAACCTGCAAGTCGAACCTCCTACTACCTTGGAAGAGTTCGTAGACGACCTTCGAGAGAACTATCCGCATATCTTAGAAGCCCACAAGACGTATTTCCAGAAGGCCTTAGATGATCAAGATTATCAACGGATTATGTTCCATGATATGACGTCCGACGAGATGGTATACAACAATATTTATACGCAGTCTAACGATCCGATTTGCGATCTTGAAGGCCCGATTCATCCGTGAGTACCGGTGTTTGACATGTGTGCTTTATCAGCTAGGCTAACGGCTCTCGATTGATGCAGTGCTCTCCAAAGAGACAGGTGGAGAGATAGTTCGTCAAAAGGGGCTGACAGATTCGACCCTCGATACTTGTATAACCTCAATGGTGTAAGAGAGGAATGGGATATGGTGAGTTCTCTCGTCCCCCTTTATCCCCGAGCGCGAACGAGCTGGCAAGGGTTGGCTAATTCATTTATTTCCCTGCTAGAGAACGAACGATACCCTATGGGCTGCGATGCAACCAGCACTACTGCTTGTATCGAAAATGCTTTTAAGCGGCCATCCCGGCATACGGGATGTGATGGACCTAAGGACGCGATACAAGATTCCGGACGAGCTAGTTTCAGAGCGGGAAAATCCCAGGACGCCCAATCTCGTTGGATACAGGCCCATGGAGAAGACGGTCTTGGACCTCGAAAACTCGTGGCCGGAGATGATTCAGCTGAATAACATGGGATACGATTTTATCGAAAACGTGTGGAGGGTTCTCTTCTATTGCCTTCGCTTCGAAATTAGTTGCGCGTGGTTTGAGCCTACCGAGTCGGATGATGCAGATGCTGTTGATGGCGTTAAAGAGACGAGGACCTTGGTATATGGGATAACTCAGGCGAGTGGCCGCGGCTCGGATACGGTCATCACTATTTGGATAGCGGCTGAGTTGATATGGCCATTGTTGGTGCCCCAATATAGCCAAAGCGAGAAGGTGACGGCGTCTTTCATAATTGCCTCGACGTTGATACATGAGTTCGCTGTGAGATAACTCCCTTGGTTCCTAAACTCTTCAACTGCTGTGTGTCACATTTGCTAACATGATCCTCGTCGCCTTTGCATATTCTAGCATGCAGTCAACTGTGCCCAATTAATTCTAACGACCGACACGTTTTTTGCAGATTTTCCAGGCCAACCTGATCAGACTGCGGGCCTTCTTAGACAACTGTCGCATGTTCTTTGGGACTCGGATGTAGAAGACGGAGACCCTTTTTGGGATGGTATAGGTATGGCTGAGTTAGGCTTTGATCTCGAGAAGTCGGTTTGGGGGTTCCTCATCAACGTCATGATGAGCGGCTCATTCATCAAGCCTTCCAGACAGATAACCACTTTGTCGTTGATAGCGGAAGCAAATCCGTATCCCGCTGCTAGAAACCCCCCTCCGCCTGGATTAAAACGCGTAGGATACATCGAAGACGCCGAGTATCCCACCGAGAATTATTGTCATCCCATCCCCATCGACTATATGGCTCAGTTCTTCAGGGAGACCTTCTGGACCGATGTCTACCCTGTATGGGGTCCCGAAGCCATGAAGCTGAGCCCCAAGGATCGCCTCCTGAAGACTACAATGTCAACTACTTGGGTACACGCACCCATGGGTGAGAAGGTCTATGGTCGTGCGGAATGGTGGTTTCTGTCCTTCGTATACCGGACGCTGGTGAAGAACGACTACCAAATACTAGGAGAGTATTTGAGACGAAAGGCGTGGCACAAGATACTGCCTTCGGTGTTATCGCTCCGCTGGGAATATGATTGCCAACAATGGGAAATAGAAACCATCATGCCCCTAAATGCTCACTTCATGAAATTGGATAGCGAAATAGACAATGCACAAGAGATCTTTCGGATTTGCGAGTTAGACTACGATAGCCAGCTCGACACGTACGTTACTCAACACAACAGTAACATTCTTAGTGGTGCGGATCACAACGTGATGTCCTTCATGGAATGGTCCCAAATGTACGAACGGAACCGGGAATACTATATCGCTGTAGGCGGGACTCTTATGAAGGAAGTATCAGCAACATACAGAGCCTTGATGAAGGACCTCGGATACCTACAGCGTGTGATGGTCGACTTTCTCAGCTTAGATCTCAATGCCCGGGCCTATATTTATACAAACAACGGCGCTGCGGATGAAGGTCCCCTCGGGGTCATGTACCGACACATAGAAGAGGCGTTTGAATGGACTCAATACTTTGTAAAGATAATTAACGTATATTCCAATGGAGCAGACACTGAATCCCTCCAGCACGAGTGGGTCACATGGGAAACACGTTTCCGATCCTGCAATATGGCCTATACGGACATCATGGAGATGCTGGGTGATCCGGACCGGTGGGACCCGGACGACATCAGCTGGAGAAGACGTTTTACAACGGTACCGTCCTCCTACTGGAAAAACCGCATGGATCGATTAAGTGTTCTTGCACACAGACAGTACGTCAGGTTAGACCCACGGATCCGTCATGTTTTCGATGAATGCGAAGCAATCATGGAACGCCTACAGGGAACGAGCAATCTCCCTATTCCGTTCCAGGACTTCGACGGAACTGTTAGCAATATACAACGAAGAGTAAGAAATGTGACGAGCCTGGGTCAACCTCCGCCTGCGGATAGAGTGTATAACTGGACCGCCCCTGGCCCGGTACGGAAACATATAAAGAACCGGCCCCGAGCTTTCACACCGGATGTGCTGCCTAGCCCCATCAAGACCGAGTTACCCAAGTTCGACTTTACTCCCTCAGGCAAGGAAGAAATAAAAGACACTTTTGGTGTACCGCGCGACGCAAGCACACTAGGAACACGCGCGCCTCGACGGCTTAACATACCGGACTGGGGCTCAAGCGGCGGAAACTTAGGTGGTTCCACGTCCGGGTCGACATCACGGGGCGGTGCTCTGGGGACAACAGGAGGTGGACTCAGCAAAAACCGGCGTCAGTCGCATAGGGGCTTCGCACGTTGGAACAAGGATCGGGACGGCGCACAATTTATCCTGTCCGCGCAGAAGATGAATAGCCTAGACAGTCTCCAGGAGATAGGGGTGTCGAGTTCAACCATCGAGGAGATAGTTAGATCGGGCCCCTTCGGAACAGGAGGACCTTTTCAGAGTGGGACGGGAGATAGCATCTTCAGGCCACAATCTATTGGTTCTAGAGCCGGGAAGCAGCCGACTATATTCCCTAATGCGTTTGCAAATCCTTTGGTCACGACACGGGATTCCATTTTACACGACGAGCAGTACCTCCTCCAGGAGGCGCAGCGGTGGGAGGACCGTAGGGGACAACAATACCAAGCAACGGATACCTGGCGGGACGCGCGAGCTACGGGCTTCGGTAGTACTGAAGGCCAAAGTCCGGGTTCGTCCTCCGGATCCCCGAGCGCATTCCCGTCCCCTGCTCCTAGCATTTAGTCTAAGCACCACTAGGATCGATTCCGCTCGGGGCTAGTAGGACTTTCTCGACTCTAGACAAACCCCTAGAAGCATACAATGACTTCTCCTAATCCCTTGTAAGCGACTGACGTTACGGAAGATGACGATGAGTATGTATAATAATATAAATGCGAAGAGGGCGCGAATCAATAAGCTAACAAGAGCAACTATTGTGTTAGAAGTCAAGCGAGTTTGGGCAATTAGGTATTAAAGTCTTGCTTTGCCATTAATGTTAATTAGGTTGATTTGTTTCGGACGCGTATAGAGGTGTCCTATTAGTAGACTCCGTACTTAAGTAATGAAAATAAACACTCGACGTGACTTACCGAGTAGTAATCACCCTAGGCAAGCATAAAGCTTCCAACTGAAACCTCAAGGTGACAAGACCGGGAACTGTTGTCAAGATAAAACGAGGATTTGAAAGTATATACTGTATAACATAAACTTAAGTAAAAATCACTGCAGACAACCATATATAATATATAAGGTAGGTAGCTATACTTTCTTATTACTAATGGTTGAAGGGCCTCGAGTAGGCTTAATATGCGGGATCTTCTACTACACATCTAGCCAGATAAAAGCCATGGCGTCGGATCATGCCTCATCTCGAATATTTTAGTCCTTCGAGTACCTGGGCTCCCTCGAGGGCTTCCTGTTGGGCTAATTCCCATCGAAGTTGGTCTGAAGGGCTAGGCGGTTTGTCGTAAGCACCTACACTAGATTCCTTAGGTGGCCTTCTATAATTTGTCGTCTCGTATCGTAACTTGATAAGCGGATCGCTAAATAGCATGGGGTGCGTCGCCTGGCGTATGGCAAAAATCTGGGGTCGCGCTATTGGTGGTAGGTCAGATAGTGGACTCCGTGGTGATACGTTCAAACTCGGCTCCAGGGGCTTGATCCTCGCAGGAGGCGAACGCTCCCACCCAGGGTGGAAAGGAGGTAAAATTGGTCCTTTAGAAGGAAGCGCCCTACAGTTTGTTGAAGAAGCCAACCCATTTTCGGTGCTATTTGCTCCCTTAAGGCTGCGGCCTGGTGCGGAACGTGGAGGTGCAGGTTTCTTAGTTCGAGGAATTATTCCACCAACCGGGATTCCCTCAATCATCTTTCGTTTCCGCCGGCGAGGATTAATTTTAACAGCGGCAGTGATGGAACTGGGCGGCTCATACGAAGGAGGCGTCGCACTCTTTCTATGAGGCGTTGCGCTGCGGTTTAATTCCGCTAACCTAATCGGGGTCGGAGATTTACCAGAGCGTGCGAGCTCTTGAGCAGCCTTTTCGTATTGTCTCCGGCTATTGCAATTAGCTAAGAACGTACCTTTGTTAGCAGGTCCAAATTTGATCTCTGGATCTGTCCCCGCATTGGCTGAAGAGACGAGGGCGGCCGGTGCTGATTTCCTTGGTTTCTTTGATTTGGTAGTCGGGATGGTAGTCTGAGATACCGGGGTAGGGTGGCTAGGAATAGGAGGTAGGACAGCCGGCGGAGGTCGACAAGGGAGTGTGTATCCGAGATTATCAAAAGGACGGTCACCGATCCTGGCTAGGGTTTGGAATATCTCCCAAACTACGTATGCTCCACATTGGTAATCGTTCCTCATAGAAGACGGATTTTTAGGTGGTGGCCGAGGTTTGGTGAATTCGATCGTGTGTCGCCTCTTCTCACCCAAGCTTTCCCGCTTCTTGGATATAGTCTCCTTCTTCTTCTCGGCTAAAGCCTCGCGCCTCTGCTTTTCGGATTGCAAAATCTCATCGGGGGACAGCCAAAGGTGCGGCTTCCTATCTTTCAAGTCGTCAACCCAAGCATCACAATCCCACTCAATCCAGTAATCTATAATGTCGCCCCAAGCACTATCGGACGGCCTCGTCAGGTTAATAAATATGACCTTGCCTCCTTTATTATGCACAGCTTTAGCAAATTCCTTGACCATCACTTTCAGACCGTGGACCTTAAGACTAGTTCCTAATATTAGGAGGAGGTCCGGTCCGACGGAAAGGTCGTGCTGAACTATGGGAGATATGAGATCAGACTGCGGATGCTCTTCTCCATAGAGGACAATGTCTGGCCTAAGCTTGCCGATACCTAAGGCTCTCTTCCCCTTTTCCTGGCGCGCAGCAGTTGCTCCCGCGCAGTGGGGGCATTCGGGCTGTTCGCCCGACATCGTACAGGATTCCCGTCCATCTTCATCCCAATCACAGAGCTTCCCGCAAACGAAGCAGCGAAGGGCATGTAGAGAGCCATGAAGGAACACACATTCAACACCCTTGTCTTGAGCTAAAATTGAACGAGTAATGTTTCGCCCGGAAGTCTCAGAGCCTTGTGAGGCTTGTCCAACATCCACATTAGCGTCTTCTTCGTCCTTTGATCCTTCCAAATTCTCCTTGGAATCCTTCCCCCAATCTGCCAGTTGTTGTTTAGCAGACTTCCTCCTCTTATTGCCTGCACCGCTCTTCAAGTCCGTAGAAAGACCAATCTTCTTCTCGATTTCGTCGATATTCTGAGTATATACTCTGGCAAGTTTTCCAACATCACGTAGTTGCGCGATAAAGCGGTGAGTTGTGGTTGGTTCAACCTCCTTTACTTTTTGCCTTAGCGTAGTGGCGAAGCGATAAAATACGGATGTCTTCAGTGGATCAGCCCATATATTACAGTCGAATAGATCTCGTCCTTTCATATTACGTAGGCTCGAATTAGAGGTCTGCGAAGACAGGAGATCTAGGGAATTTTGTGTGTCTTCCAGGTCGGACGCCTCGGAACTTTCCGCACTCTCTCGTGAACTACCCTCCGTAGATGAGTTCGCATTTTCGTAGGGGTCGAATAAAACAGGCGGTGGCGAAGAGAGGGGAGACGAGCTAAATACCTTGCCCAGAATAGCTCTCGGAGTAGTATCCCTTGTTCGAACGTTACGAGAGCCCTGCCCTACGCAGAGAGCTGAGTCATCAGTCTGGGACGAGGTTCTTGAAAGTCGGGAGCCTGAAAATAATGACTCTTGGGATGTAGAAGATTGCACGGAATATTGCGAGGCGTGTCGAGGTAATGGTGGCCGCAGTCCTGACTGCGACCTAGTAAGTCGCTGTAACGATATTCCAGAAGCTACTACTTCTTGTTTTACAGGGGCCTCTCTCGCAGATCGAATAAGGGTTATTGTATCCCCATCAGTACCGCCGACTAACGTATTCGCCCTATCCTGGGCTTTCTGACTATCCGAGCCGTCTACCGCTTTCGTGGGTTTATGTTGGTCTATTATCCTTTCAGTCGTATGTGATATTCTTCTTCTTTTGGTCGGGCGTTCGCTTATAGCGAAATCAACAGCCTGTCCTTCGCTATATTTACTATGACCGGCCTCCGCCCGTTCAAACTGGGCCTGGATGAGTGAATAAAGCCCATTTTCTGAGCGGAAGTCCTACACGAATAGTCAGTCCCTAGATATCTCCAAATATAGCAAGGATATGATCATACTGGGATACCAGAATTGGTACTTATCCCAGCACCTGTGATTATGACAACCTTTTTGGCTTTCCCCAGCGAGTTGGCGACGTCTTGGAGCAATTCCGAAGAAGTAGGTGTGACTTGGAGTATCGTCATGCTGAATGTTCAAGACCAGAATGCCCAAGGCCAGTCGCAAATTCGGAGGGATTGTGATCTAAGCGCGTAAAGGAGTCATCGCGCGAGAATGACTTGTAAAACTTGTAGTCTAACACGTATCTACGAGCTTGCTGTGTCCTCTTCTTCGGGAAGCTTCAAGGCGGACGCATAAGTAGAAATCGAGGATAAAGACGCGTCAGCACGCGTGTATCGCAGATTAGTTAAGTTGTTAAAAGGTTGGCCTTAACATCTATAGCTAGATAAAAACAACGGGACATGGGTTGTTAAATTGAAGAGGCGCGATATGATGGGTTGTGGTATGCCGGACGGTTAGAGAGACGTTAATCGTGTACAAGACGGGAACATAGAAGCTATCGATCGTGGGGCGGGCGGGAAAGTATACGAATATAATCGGACAATCGAACGTGATTTCGAATATAAATGATGGCGGCAGAAGTACGAAGACAGGACTATATAACTAGTGTAAAAAAGTAAGTAAATTCTAAAACACAGAAGAAGAAAAAAGGGTATATAAACTAAGTTGTGAGATAGTTAAAAAGTACGAGTAAGTACGAGGTCGGCAGTAGCAATTACCTTCAATCTTGGGTACAAAGCGCGAATCATCTTTAGCTAGTGTGGAGTTAGTAAACACTGGCGAAGCTGACTGAGATGGCAGTAACGCGTGCTAAGTTGCTAAATTTACCCCACTAGTTTGGTACCTCGTACTTTAAAATGCGGAGATTATTTGATTAATCGCATGCGCACGTATACATCCCTATTTGCATGCATGCTCACAGAATATATGCATATATCTGCTTAATATTTGGTACCGAGGTCCTCAAACAATAACCGAAAGAGAACCAAAAATTATTTCTCATTCCTCATTCCTCATCCCAACATATTACCCTAACACGTTCAACAGCTTCGTAAAGTCACCCACGGAGCCGAGGCCAGTTACGCAGTCGTAGCCCTTTACGCTCTCCCATCCAGGCTCTTTAGCATCGCCAAACACACAATTCTGACTGACGCCCGTCGTGATGTCTTGTAGCGCTTCCCTAACAGGCTGCGAATATAGCGCTGGATTTAGCCATCCTGTGCTATTCTTCCCCGCCTTCAACCTCGAATCATTGATCAACGCCACTAAAGCGGCTACCACTGGTGTGCTAGCACTCGTCCCAAGTACATCGGTCTGGTAGCCGCCTACTTGGATAACGTAATTCGTACCAGTAGCACTGATATCAGGGAACGCCCGTCCGGATGCGTTATATAGACCTCTATGAGATCCGTTGAGGGTAGATAGATACTCGTCCACGACGCCCTTCTGCCACTCTGGCCTAGCGAAGTAGTTGCTGAAGCCACCTGTACTAAAGTCGGCTCCCTCTAATGGCAGAGTGTTTCCTGTTGCGCCTACAGCCGTGACGTACGGACAGCTGGCTGGGAACGTGGGAAGGAATATCTTGCGCCTTCGACCATCGTTGCTGTAGCACTGGTTCTGCCCTATGCCGCCAGCGCCGCCATCGCCGGATCCAGAGAGGACTGTAATACCGCGAGCTGCAACAAGAGCAAGAAGGTCGCACACGCGAGCAGCATCTATTAACAATGATAATCAGCAATTACTTCAGTTTGACGAGTTTAGATATGTCTCGAGAGTGACAACTCCTCAACCTACTAAAAGGGAGAAACAAAATCATTGATGTCACGTACATGGAGCCGGCACCGACTGCTCATCATCGGCGTATGAGATACTCATAACGTGAGGTATTTCTTCGTCCTTAAGGTCAAGAAGGTACTGAAAGAACTCGAGGTATGGCTCATTATCGCTCCTATTCGATGGCATCAACTCTCCCTCGCGATCAATCTTCTCGCCTCGTCCTCCCGTTGAATAGTAGGTCACATTCGCCGGATAGGCAAGGGCCATGGCGTACTCTACATCTAAACTAGCCTCTAGCCCCGCTCTCGATTCTGGTGCATTAGGCTGAGGATTTGTGCCATTATTTAGAGTGACAACCGTGAAGTTATAATTCAGTGGTGCGAGTTCCGGTGAATACCTTCCGAGGAATTCGGAAACATCGTCGTATTTGATCCACTGCTCAAGGAAGCCAGCTATTCCGAATCGGACAGGTGACTCTATGGGAGTTTTAGTGTCAGCATATGTCACATTATAAAGCTTCTTGAGACACGCTGGAGTGACGCCCGATGAGCAAGGCTGGTCGTCGTCGCTCGCCTTGAAGGCTGCTTTTCGAGAAGGGCGGTGCTTGAGCCTAGATTGAGGTGGCGGCATAAAGTTGGAGATTGGATATATAAACTCGACATTTCCGTCAAGTATCCGAGGCAGTGCATACGATTGAGCACGCATGAATGATGAAGAGTCCTGGAAAGAATAATATCCTAGGTTGGTACGAAGGATCCTATTAACTTCCGCAGCAGTCGAAGTGAATTTCACCATTGAGCCTTCGTTGGTTATATCTGTGATTCTGTTCGACCTGAGCCATGAGTCGACCAAATCCAACGTCTTTCGGTCGGGTGCTTGGTAGGCTTTCACCTCATCCCTCGTGAGATGGTGTCCGTATTCAGCATGTCGCGGATCGCTGATACGATTGAGACGGGTTTTTAGTTCATTGATTCTGGGCTGCTTGAGTGCGATTGATAACTGTATCGGCTCTTCTGCCTTCGCTGGCTTCTCAAACTTCCAACCGGCCGGGAGATTGGCTACCACCTCGCGAGTGGCCAGCGTTTCTGCGGCCACATAGCTTGCCCATGCTCCAATTAGAGCGCCTACAAGGATTAACCTCATGGTGAACTTCCCTAGGAATTAAGGGCCACTTAAAGTAAAGAAACGAAGCACCTCTATCCAACGAGACTACAGACCCCAATCTAATCACAAAGAGAAAGCAAGCTCTCCTACCTCGCCGAAGAAAGATTTAAATGAAATAATTGTCTATCAAGATATCGCCTCCAAGAAAACTCCAACGCCCTTAACGGAGCGTACCTGTTTTCTTAGCACACAATCGCTTGGGATCGATTAGGTATGCTAACATATTTAGCCGGGGCTGGTGTTGTACAAATTGGTAGATCCGGCCAGTGGCCGGGGCTTTCTAATGCCATTCTAGGCTTGCGATGGACACATTTCTGTACGTTTATTAAGGGGGTTAATCAATACTGCCTGGTGGCTAAGCTTAAAATAGAAACGGTGTCACGGAACCAATATATTTATAATAGATCACTTTAAGAGATCTAGCCTATAAATACGCTTGCCTAGGAGACTAGAACATGTGAACATCGCAGTGACAGGTAGCTATGTTAATAATTATTACGCTAGGTGACGTCTATAACGTATATTACTACCTCAAGTTCTATACACTGATCTATCTTTCCTAAGGCGGATCATCGCCTTCGCGCTACGACGCACCGATACGACATTCACTCGAGATTGAACTTCTCCCCGATCAGATCCTCACTTAAGTGCCAAAGACGCTCGGCTATGTTGGGATCCTTAGCGAAGTCTGCGCTGGGAAAGAACTGACAATCGGACAAGTAGAGGCCAGCGCGAGCTGCCATTACACATTAGAAGAGTCATTTAGCCAGTGGATAGAGGGACTTACTATTCAATGCTGGGTCTAATGCTGCAACGAGGGTCGTCGACGCGCCTTGGTCGCAGTTCTTCCAGAACGTGGACGTCTTCGCAATAGTATCGGCCATCTCCTCGTCGTGTTCTCGACCAAGCTGGCTATCAACACCTATACAAACAGTAAGTTAGTCTGTTATTCATGGTCAAGGGATAGGCTACGGTTTACCTCCTGGGTGTACGGCGTACGACATAATCCCATTCGCCTGTAAGTGCTCTTGAATATACAGCGTGAACAATATGTTGGCCGTTTTGCTTTGAGCATACGCAATGGTAGGCATGTAGCCATCTTCTTGGACCCTTCCGAAGGCAGGTGGTAAAGGAGAGAAAGGCTTCTCTTCTTCAGGGATCTCCTTGTTTTCAATATTGTAGTCGTGGAATCGAATGGTAGATATTCGATGTCCGTGGCTAGACAGGTTGACAATTCGAGTCGCCCCAGCAGGTGACGATTTAGCTGCCTCTTTTAAAAGAGGGAACATGAGCTTCGTGAACAAGAACGGGCCGATATGGTTCGCGCCGAATTGTATCTCGATACCCTCAGCTGTCCAACGGCGAGCATTGTAAGTGGCACCAGCATTATTCACTAGTATATCCAACTTCGAGATTATGCCAGTGACCTCAGCAGCCGCTTTGCGAATTGAGGCCTGGGATGCCAAGTCTATTGTAACGACTCGTACATCAACTTCTGGGTATAATTCTCGAATGTGTGATGCGACGCTATCGAGCTTTTCTTTGGTCCTTGATACCAAGATCAGAGTTGCAGGTTTCTGAGATGCGAAGGCTATGGCGGTTCCTTCACCAACACCTGCTGGCGCCACGCCGGTAATCAGAACTATTTGCTTCGTTAGAGTCGTAATTAAGTCTCGGGTGGGGAGATATACCTACCATTTCTTCCTTCAATGTACTGGGCATAAGTACTAGCCACCTCTAGTCCGGAAGTCTTCTCTCCCCATTCTGGATTCGACGTCATTTTGGCTACTTAGACCTTATGGTATAATCCACATTCACGGGGAGGAGACGTGAGAGATGATGCTATAACCGTTGTTTATTTTATTATACTTACCCCTAGGATAAAGATGACAAGGAGACTGGCCTTGAATTATTCCTTACTAACCGAGCCTGACTCCCGTTGCGCCAGACTAAACCGCATTCCTACAACATGGGGTTCTTCAAGAATACCGGCATTATTTACAAGTCGTGTAATCGGCCGGTCTGGGCATTCCAGGCCGAGAGTCGATGATCAAGTATAGGCTAAGGTCGGGGGGTAGTATACGTCCAGGATACCCCGTTTGGAGGTTATCAAGGTATCTACCCAATAGTCGGCTGTAATCCCCGGACAAACTATCCGACGTTCCACGTAGGTCACAACGTGGCCCAGCCCCTTGTCAAGTCGAATCCTCTTACCTTAGGTCTCGGGAACATGGCAGCGTGACTAGAAAGGGTCGGCACTCCACCAACTTGGGGAAATCCCCATGTGAGAATTCCCACCCCCGCATCGCGTGTTGGGTTTATGGAGTCGTCTATCATTAGGGGCAACCGGCATATTTAAATGTCGATGGTATCAGCATGTTATTGGCCGTCGTCATACACCTAAAACAGTTTGATTATCCAGTCGCAACTTTGGTGTTCCAAATTCTGCTACAAGGAAACTCCTATCTTCTCACACCTCGGGAGATTCCTTTGTGCATTGACTATCGAGATGACAGCTAACGGCTATACCAATGGGACAGCAGGGCGACCCAAGACGGGCATAAAGGTAATAGTGGTTGGGGCTGGTATGTACTCTATGCAAGTTATACAAAGCCTCCGAAGCGAGCATCTGACTGACGATCTCTAACCTCGATTCTTCAGGATTTGGTGGCCTAGGAGCTGCGATAGAGTGTCACCGTCAGGGACACGATGTCGAAATATACGAGGCATTCCCAGAGCTGAAAACGCTTGGAGATATCATCTCGTTTGGACCAAATGCGGGAAGAATTTTCTATCGCTGGTCAAATGGCGAAGTAGTCCAACGAATGCGGCCCCTAAGTATCGACCTGAGGAACTACGGGTTCAATATTCATAAATATGACACCGGCGAGATTGTTATTAACCAGAAGACACCTCAATATGCTGAAGATGCGCCAAATTTTAACGGCCACAGGGGCGAGTTACACGAAGTAGTCTTTAACTATGCTAGAGACGATCTCAAAATACCAATTCACTTAGGACACAAGATCCAGACATATTTTGAAGATGAGAAACAGTCAGGCATCGTGCTCGACGATGGTAGAAGGGTCAGTAGCCTAGTAAACTGAGATTTCGCCATTGCGGTCAGCTAACTGTGTAGAAAGATCGCCGCCGACGTAGTCATCGCATCAGATGGAGTACGGTCTAAGGCACGTAAGTCCGTGCTGGGCTACGAAGATAAGCCAAAGAGTAGTGGATATGCTGTTTGGAGGTCATGGTAAGAATCGCTCTCTATTTAATACATAGGATAATAGCTTAAGATAGTGCAGGTTTCCAAACAAGGACATGCTCGCCGACCCGGAGACTGCCCAATTCTGCAATAACGGCGATACTTTCAATGGGTGGATCGGACCGGACATGCACTTCTTGTTCAGCACTATTAAGAACGGCTCGGACTGCTGCTGGGTACTAACTCATCCGGACGAACATGACATTGACGAGTCGTGGAGTTTCCCAGGGAGGCTCTCGGAAGTTAAAGAGGCATTGAAAGGCTGGGATCCTCTGTGTACTCGAATCGTCTCGAAAACACCCGAGGATATGCTCGTCGATTGGAAGTTGGTATATCGGGATCCTTTGCCTACCTGGGTCAGTCCTTCTGGGCGAATCCTACTTTTAGGGGATTCAGCGCATCCATTCCTCCCTACGAGTGCCCAGGGAGCAACTCAGGCGCTCGAAGATGGTGTAGTTATTGCTGTGTGTCTGCGCCGAGGAGGCAAGGAAAACGTCCCGACCTCTGTCAGGGCACACGAGAAGATAAGATACGATCGCGTCCGCCAGACGCAGAAGACCGGCGAGAGTACGCGAGATATGTGGCACAAGACGGACTGGGAGAAGGTCAAGAAGAACCCCGAGATGATTCAGTTCCCGAGGCAAGAATGGATTTTTGATTTTGACGCGGAGAAGAATGCTGAGGAAACATATGACACTGTTGTTAAGGAACTTCTTGCGGCACAGACTATGAATTTGCATGCTTAAGCTACTTAGGTATCTATCTGAACGATTCGTCATAACTTATACTCGCTTTCATCGCTTACATACCTTAGGTATGTATGTCTCTTTAATGAATAGTGAAATTCTACCACGCCAAGGTTGGTATTGAAGCCTAGGTGCTTTATACGTGTTTGTGTGATATGTGTGATTGGTGTATCAGCCACGGTATAAAAGTTACCTGCCCAAGCATCCCAAGCATCTTATTTATCATGACCAACCCTCTCCTCGATGTATTCCGTTTGGGTCTTCTCACCAAGGGCTGCATGCTTTCCCGTGCAACGATATTTGCGAAACTTTCGTGCCGGAACCTGAGCTTCAAACTATTTCGCGATAATTAGCAAACCCATCTACATTCATGCTAGTTGAAAGGCCTACCATTTCATCAATCTCTTCCAATGTACGATCCTTTGCTTCAGGCAAGAAGAAGAAGATCCAGATTCCGGCAGCGGCACAGGAACCAGTCCAGATATAGCCATACTTCGGTCCCCAGTTTAGCGAATCTGGATTAATGAAATACGGCGCTGTGAAAGCTACGCCGAGTTAGTACTAAGCATCACATATACCTAGCGTTTATAAAACATTGACATACTAGTAAGCCACTACGTATAATTAGTTTCGGCTCAAGGATGAAGACTCTAAAGGACTTACAGCAAAGAAGAACCCAACACCTGTAGCTAGACCAAATGTGTGCGAGCGTAGACGCTGCGAGGAGAGCTCTCCTCCAGATAACCATGCATAAGGTGCGACCATGGAGTTGTACGCGACTATGTAGAGGACACTCATACCAACGAGAGCTTTTCCGGAGCTTTCTGTATTGGGATGAACCGTGTACACTATAGCAATGATAAGCTGAGAAATCCCGCAGAAAATAAAACCTGAAATCATCATAAGTCGTCGACGTCCGAATTTGGTAATCAAGATGGCGGTAACTCCTAGGGCGGCCGCCCCGACTCCGGTGAGGATGCATGAGTTCTCGAAAGCGTTTCCTACGTTCGCCATCTCGAAGAAGTAAGTTCCGTAAGCTGTCTATATTAGTTACGTACTGGAGACTGAAAGCGATAAGATGCACGAACATATGACAAACATTGCACCTGATGCTGCTTGACTTGTGAGAGCAAGTATAGCGATAGTTGTCCTGCGGCGGTCGATGGGGTTCCTGACGAGGTCTACGTATCCAATACCCGACTGTAGTCTGGCCTCTGCCTCTAGAGTCGTCTTCATATCTGTTAATTCTTGCGAAACAGACCATCCTTCAGGCCGTAGCCGATGTAAGGACTGTTCGGCTTCATCAAATCGCCCTTTCGCGGCCAACCAGCGGGGCGATTCGGGGATGAAGAAGAGTCCGATAAACAAGATCCCAGGAACAATGTAGACGATACCTAAAGGGATAATGTAGGCGTTCTTGCTTGCGATCTTGGCTGTAAAGTTATCTACGATAGTCCCAATAAGGGATCCTAGGCAAGTTAGGAAGGGTACGACTCATATGGTCGGTGCTTGCAAGATGCGGATTCTTACCCAATGAGACCCAATATGTGAGGAACGATATTCCCAATCCTCTGTAACGGCTGGGAACACTTTCCTATGCTGAGGTGTAAGTTACTTGCGGTAGTTGTCAGCGCTACACGAGTCTGCATACCTGGATCTACTACATGTTAGCGTCTACAATAGGAAGATATATGCATAAAGCTTGGCTTTTCGAAATATCCAACCATCTCCATTCTTCTTTTGATTCGTAGGTTTTTTCGTTTTCTTTTTTACCCCTATAGGACCTTCACGATGTCCTTCCCCACCTCATCGTGTATTTAAGTTATTCTAAGGTTAAGAGAACCAAATGAATCGCTTACTATCGCCCCGGTTAGAACACGTACAAAATACCTAGCTTTAGAATGCAAGAAATAAGATTGTTCAACGTACCATAAAGTTGTGAGTGTGTCATCAGCAGCCCATTAGCAAGGCCAAGTATCAGTCTTCCCGCGTATAGACCCCCTATGTTTGTAGTAGCTTGCATGAGAGCGGTCGATGCAAAAACACCAATGCATGCTATCCACAGAGATAGCTTTCGGCCGACATACTTGGCAGTAAATCCAGCAGACGAAGAAGACACAAAGGCGCCGAGGACCATCAAAGACGCAATAAGCTGTTGTCTATCGGATGGAATATTCCATCCAAGTAGAATTGATGGGTCTTCCTGCCCAAAGACCTTGAAAATAAAGCGTAAGACACTACTTTTTCGTTTGGGAATGACTAAAATTACCTTTAGGAATGGTACCATGGCTTGAAGACCGCCAATAATACCGAAATCGAGTCCATACTACCATAGAAGGTGTCAGTACATCTTGACAGTAGGACAGCGGTCATAGAAGTCAGAAACCGTTAAGGACTGTGTAATAACTCACTTGGAAAGAACTTAGAGATACTAGGGTCATCGCAATTATTGCTTTCCAGTGGTCCTTGACCCCTAGGGCCTTTTCTTGGTCTGTCGACATTTTGACGATGGACGAAGAAATTGTAAGTTGCGTGAGTCAAGAAGGGATTTTGTTTGAGGACCTACCCGCCCGACCAGATGTTGGCTAGAAATCTCAACTTAAGAAGCAAGCACCCATGGCATGCTCTATGCATCCCAGAAACTTGGAACAAGGAATCCGCATATCAACTCGTGGTCTGGATTTGCCGTTATGGGCACGCATACCTGTTCTAGCACACGTAGCCATAAATGTTAAGCGATCCCCTGTTACCCCAGCGTTCAACAGACCTCTTGGGGCTGATCGCCCCCCTTTCCCCACACGATCACAACAACCATGGGTGGTGTAGTATTGCCGGCTAATTCATTGCAACCTCCTTTTGGAGTTGGCGTTAACCCTAGCTACACGACGGACGAGAGGGGCCGAGACTATATGGATATTTGTGGCCGCACGGAGATTCTCCAGGTCTGGAATAGAACTTGGCGGTATAGACAGAGTAGGTTGGTCACCACGTATAGAACAATAGGCATGGCTATCACATGCCGGATGCGACGTGGCTAGTATAGTTCCTTGATTATTATTAATGTAGGCAAGCTATAAACCCAAACGAACCAATCACATAACGTGTAGTATGCCACGGCACATCACACTTTATATCCTAGCTAATCTGAGAACCGGCATCTCCACGATAGTCTCTTTATACTTCAAGAGCTGTTCTTATGTAGCTAGTGCCATCGTTCGTGAGAGGGTTCTAAATGGAAAAAGCTAGCATATGTCGCATCTTGGCTTGGTAGGACGAAATATCCAATGCTACCCAGTAAATAACTTAGTATTCAGTATCTTAGATGGAGGACGTAGCCCCGGGATGCTCCCGCGGGCACTAAGAGATTGCCTATCTGGATAGTGAGCTGAATATATCTGCGCAATCATGATCGCGTTTTCTTCGAGTGGCGTCTGCAGATTCGTAGTCGCTGGCCTCTTGATACCAGCTTTCGAGAAGTGTTAGGGTTTCGTAATAGTTCTTTCCGGGGGGCCAGGCTTTCCCTTGGAGGTTGGCTGCCGACTCCAGGTATTCCCTCGCTAGTTTATGGTCGACGCTCGTCGTAGGATCGTCCCCATCAGACCGCGTCTTGCTATAACGGGCCATGCAGTACTCGCCGACAAATTCGAGGTAGTCCGAAGGCTTAGGAGACGACTGGTTCTGCTCTAGAACTTTCAACGCGACTTTTGGGAGTCTATCATCGCGCCAACTACATTGATTTCCAAAGATAAGTAGTAAGTCTGCTCGCAAGTTCGAAGGATCCTGAACCTTGTCTAGATTTGGTAGGGTTGCTGTTGGTATCTTATCGACTTCCCAATGATTCAGGCATAAGTAGTACCGGTGATATGAATCCCATATAGGCCCGAGATCCCACGGCTTCAGTAGAGTGTAGTCAAATGGTTTACCGTCGAACGAGCTATTAAACCTACCCGAGGCCCACTGCAGGGCCCAGTCTAATACGTTGACATTGTGTTCTAAACTGTGCTGCTGTGAAAACCTGGCGAAAGACACCAATACCCGATGCAGCGGTTGATTCACCCCATCAATAGCGGCAGCATACCGCGAGAGATAGCTCCAAAGTTCCCTCATGATCTCTGCGTTGGGATACCTTTGGATCGCCATCATCATTTCGAAGAAGGATAGGGACGCAGATGTCTCGAGAATATGGTGTAGAAGGGCAAAAGCACCCCGACAGAACCAGCCACCCTCCTGATTACGGCCTTCTGAGAAGAGCCAGCATCCGTGGGTCAACAGCTGGACAGAAAGGAGGGCATTGCTCGTATGATGGGCATCCAGCTTCTTCAAGTAGTCAGTGTCCATCGGGCGGGGCTTGATGAATTTCTGAGATGTCCATTGGAAGAACTTCTCCTTGATACAGAGGTCGCCAGGGGAGTCCAGGAGCCTCGGGATTGAAGGCGGTGTCCGGCATCTTACAGTTGGCGGCAAGTCGCCCGAGTCCGCCACTTCGACGAGATCGAACGCGCTGACCCCTCTTCTCCTCATGTACGCCTCTACGTCGATTAATTTACCATTTCTACGGAAAGTACTCTCTTTGCCGATGGCCAGACGGTGACGCTGCAAGTAAAGGAGATTTGCTACGTCAGCTTGGCGATTATTCTTGAAGAATTTCCATTGCGTGAGCTTCGTCTTATACATCTTTTGACTTTAAAAGCTGGCTTAGTTAATGGACAAAGAAAATCGAGGGAAACTCGTAAGCTTACGATGCTCGGAAGCCCCATCGGTTCTCCATAATTTCCATCACATCCTTGAGCCGTTTATTCTCGTCCAGGTAAAGGCGGCCAATCTCCGCCTTATGCGTTTCCCAGACTTCGGGAGCATGTGTTCGTTTACGATGGCCGTGATTAGAACCTGTCGGCTTCGGCTTCGGAGTCTGTCCCGAACTACTAGACGGTCCGGCCACTCCGGGTATTACCATAAGCTCGCTGCTAGCTGTCCCTAGCGACCCTAAAGTCGCTTCTTGTCCATATTCGGTGGAGTCTGATCCCGAATCCACGGAATCGGGCGACAACTGGGGTTTCCGAGTTAAATATACAAGATCGCGGCTCATCGCGTCCGACTTCTGTATTCTCGCCTCAAGCCGGCCCATCTGTTTCCAGCCAATATCCTAGACCTTTCACCGTGTACCAATATACGCGCGCTCAGAAAGCAAGGAGCCCATGATTCTAAATGAGCGGATTAGGCTCAACAAATATTGCTCTTAGACCTTGGTCTATCGCACTGCAGCAGAGACGCGTCGGTGGGTGCGGTATTGGTGAGCGGCTTAGAATGAATACCTAGTAAAAGCGGTATGTGAGTATGGAAAAGAGGGACAATTTACATGGGTTGAGGGATATGTATGTACATATGTACATAGGATTTTTGAGTGGGTTGCGGGCGCTTAACCTCTTCTTGCTTCGCTCTAAAGCTCTGCATAATTATACATTTGTAACATGAGGGCACCCCTGCGGGGCACCACAATAGCCCGAGTTTACGAATCACGTGCCGCTGCTGCCGGGGAAAGGCGCTCGGCACGCTTCGCGCGCCGAGCGCTTTTCCCCGGTAACAGCGGCGAAAAACCTCGAACACCAAGCTTTGTTAAAATTCTTTTAAAAAATAAAAGATAAAAAGATAAAAAATAAAAATAAAAAAAAAACATGTAAAATTTAAACTTAAGCTTTTATAAAACATATAATACGGTTACGTAATTAATAACCGTGGTTAATTAAATTATTTATTTATTATTTAAAAATTAAATAAAAAAAAATACGTATTTTAAAAAATAAAAAAAGTGGGGATTTAAAAAAACACGTGAAAATTTAAAGATATATTTAATAAAAACGTTTTAAAATTATGTATAAACGAATTTTTTATTTTAAAAAATGGTTAAATAAAAAAATTATTTAATAATATTTTTTATAAATATAAAGTTTTATTTAATGTAAAATTTAATAAATTAAAAAAAAAAAAAGATTTTTTTTATAAGTTATTTTAATAATATAATTAATATATAAATAAAATAAACATAATAATTTATTTAATAATTTATATAAATTTATGTAATAATAATATTTATTAATAATTTTTTTATAAAAAATTTTTTAACATTTTTATTAATTTAATTTATTATAAATATATTATATTTTTTATTATATTATTAATTTATTATATTTATTATATTATTAATTTATTATATTTTATTATATTTATTACATTATTAATTTATTATATTTTAAAGTTTTTTATTAAGTTTAAATTGTTATAAAAAAATTTATAATTATTTTTTTGGTAAATTTATAAATATTGTTTATATTTTAACATTTTTTGTTTTATTTTTTTCGATTATTAATTTATAGTTTTTAAATTTTTTTAATGGTAATTTTAATTTTTTTAATATAATTATAAATATAATTAATGTTTTTTTTCTTTTTAATTTTTTTAAGTTATATATTATTTATTTTAATTAATTATATTTTTATATTTTATTTAATATTTTTATTAATTATATAATTTTTATAAGTTATTAAATATTTTTTTTTATTAAAAAATTTTATATTTTAAATTATTTAATTATTTATATAAAAGATTAAAAATTTTTTTAAATTTATTTAGTTTTTTGGTTTAATTTATATATATTTATTTTATTTGTTATTAGTTTTATAAAAAATTTTTTAATATATTATTAATAATGTTTTTAATATTTTTTATTTGCGTTTTTATATTTTTAATGTTATTATTTTTATTATTTATTATAATGTTTTTATTATCGATTTTTTTATTATTTTTAATGGTAAATATAAAAGTATTAAAGTTATAAATATCGAATATAAATTTTGTTACGTTTTTATATAATTATATTTTCGGTATTTTTTTTTACTTTTTTATTTGTTATTAAAATATAAAAACTTTTTAATATTTTAAAAGTTATATAATTTATATTAATTTTAATATTAATAATGTTTTTATAATATTATTTAATAATTTATTAAATTTTAATAAAAAATTTTTGTTTATTTATATAATTTTAAAATATTTTTTGGTTAAAATATATAATAAAAATTTTTTATATTATTTAAAATTTTAATTATTTTTTAATTTAATTATGTAAATTTTTTATAATTTTAATATTATTTTATAATATAATAAACTATTATTTAATTAATTATAAAAATTAAATTTTACCAGTATATTAATAATTCTTTTTAAGTTAAACTATTTTTTTGGTTTTATAATATATATTATTTTAATTTAATATATTTTTAAATTTTTAAATTTTTCTTTTAAAATAAAAACATTTTTTTATTATTATAAAATAAGTATTTTAATTAAAAATTATTTATTTTAATAATATAATTATTTATTTTTAATAGTGTATTTTTTCGGTTAATAATCTTTTATATTATTTTAATGTTTTAACATTATTTAAATTAATAATATTTTAAGTTATTATTAAATTAAATTAATATTTATTTTAATTAAATTTTTAAAATATTTTAATTTTAAATATTTCGGTTTTAAAATTTATATTAATTGGTAATATAATTAAAATATAATTAAAAATGTATAACAATTTTATTTTTAAAAATATAATTAAATAAAAATATATAAATTTATAGTATAAAAATTATATTTTTAAAGTTTATAACAATAGTATTAATGTTTTTAAGTAATATTTTTATTATATTAAATTTAAAAAATAATATAAAAAAAAAGAAAATATTTTTAATAATATTAATAAAAAAAAGGGTTTTTATAATTATTTAATAAGTTTTAATTTTTCGAATTAATTATATTTATTTAAATTAATTGCATTTATTTTAATTTAAAAATTAATTAAATATTAAAATTAATTTTATTTTATTTATTTATATTAAGTTTAATTTTATTCCGTTTATCCGTATTAAGTTTAATTTTATTTTGTTTATTTATATTAAAATTAATTTTATTTTATTTATTTATATTTAAATTTAATTTTAAAAATTATATTATTTTAATTTTCGAAATTAAAAGTATTATTATTAATATGGTTAATTATAATAATATAATTAATAATTACATTAATATAATTAATGATTATATTAGCGATAATATTATTAACTTAATATTTAGTTTTATTTTAACGTTTATTTTTAATATTTTTTTTATTAATTTTTATTTTTTATTTTTATTTTTGTTAATTTTTTTACGTAATTTTAATTTTTTTAATATTAATTTATTTATTTTATTAAATTAATTAATTAACTTTATTACATTTTACATTAATAGTTTTTTAACGTACCATTAATTATATATTAAAGTATATTTTTTTTATTATATAAAATATTTTAATATTAATATATTTTATTTATTTATTCGTTTTTTTAAAGGTTTTTTAATTTTATAAAATAATTATTTATTATTATTACCTTTAATTATAACGCGTTTAATTTAAAGTTTTTATTTATTATATAAATTTACTTTTTATAAAATTTTATAAAATTAAATTATTAATATAATTTTATATATTTTTTAATAATTGAAAATATTTAATTTATATATTAAATCTTTAATACGTTTTAATATTATTAATAAATTAACTTATTAAATAAACCATTTTTTCGGAAGTTTTTTTAAGAAATTATATCTTTTATATAATTTAAAATATACCATATTTTTAACCTTTTAATTAATTAATTTATAAATTTTATTATATTTTATTTTTACATTAATTATAATAAAATTTATTATAACTTTTATTTTTTTTTAATATAATTTTTTTAAAATATTAAAATTAATAAAATTATTTAATAATTTTATTATTAAAATTAAAGTTTTTAATTTAAACTTATATATAATTTTATTTAAATTATATTATAATATTAATAATTTCGTATTATTAAAATTATATTATAAAATTAAAATAATATTAATTTATAATTTTTAAAATATAATATAATAATATTTTAATTTTTTTTTTCGGTTTATTTATTTATTTATAAATAATAATTAATTAACATTATTAATTTTATTTTTAATTTTATAAATAAAATTTATTAAAATTTTAACATAAACTTTAGATTTTTATTAAATATTACTTTTGTAAATAATTTTTAATTATAAAATAAAAAAAATTATAATATTAATAATATTTATTAATTTACTTTATAAATTATATAATTTAAAATAAATATTACTTTTTTATTAAATTTGTAAATAATAATTATTATTACATTAAAATGGTTAAATTTTCCGATAAATTATATTATGTTTTTTAATAATATTTTTTAATTTATTAATCCTATTATATTATAATTTATTAACCACATTATTGTTTTTATTTATATACGATATAATAAAAAATATAAAATTAAACGGTAACGGTAATAAAAGTTAAAGCCAATTATTTACTTTATTTACTTTATTAACATTATTAAATATCGATAAAAAAAATAATAATAAATTATTAAATAAATTATCGTATTTTAAATAAATTTTAACTTAATATTAATTATAATTAATAAATTTCTTATAAAAATATATAATAATTAACGCAAATAATAAATTATAATTAAATAAAAATTTTAATTAAATAAAAATTTTAATTAAATAATTTTAAAATAAAAAATATAAAAATATTTTATTTTAATTTAAATAAATTATATAAAATAAAAAATATAATTATTATTAAAAAAATATTATTTTTTATAATATAAATTTATTTATTAACGTAATATAATAAATAAAAATAAATAAAGTTTATAAAAAAACCATTATTAATTACATATATAAGTTATATTAAAAAAAGCTTAAAATTAATATATTAAAATACTTTCGTAAATTAACCGGGACGTAATATTTATAAATAACAAATACGTTTTAATTAAACTTTTTAATAAATTTAAAATGACTTTTAATAAAGTATAAAAAATATTACAAACATTAAAATACACCGTATAAAACGTTTTTAACAAAGTATTAATTTAAAAATAATAAAAGGAAAAATAAAAAAATAATATGGTATTTTTTATTAAATATAAAGTATTACATTAATGGCTTAAAAGTTACTCGTTAAAATAAAACTACCAATTGTAAAGTTTTATTTAATGTAAAATTTAATAAATTAAAAAAAAAAAAAAAGATTTTTTTTATAAATTATTTTAATAATGTAATTAACGTATAAATAAAATAAATATAATAACTTATTTAATAATTTATGTAAATTTATGTAATAATAATGTTTATTAATAAATTTAAATAATATAAAATATAAAATATAAAATTATTAATTATAAAAATTATAAAAGTTTATTATATAAATATATTTAAAAATAATAATAACATTATATTATTTACTTTTATAATAAATTTATAAATAATAATTTAT